TTATTTAGATTAAGATTGTGTGTCAATTTATTTTATTTCCACAATTTTAGAGATTGTGTGTTAATTAGTATGAAATAGGTTTTTATAGAGTCTTGATTTGATATATGTTAGGGTGAAATAGGATGTATGTTAAAAAATAATGAAAGATGAAAGTGAAATAGAATGAAATTCAACAGTTTTAAATCTTTGTGATGAACATTTTACGCCACCGGTGGGGTAAATGAAATTCACATGTTTGATGAAATTTTTTAAAGAGTTGTGAACAATCACAACGACCACTACAACCCTACAGACATAACCCAAAATTCAGTGTTGGACTTATTCTTGAGTATGGTTGTAGCAACTTTGGTTTGCTTGCATTGCTCTAAAGTGATAGTCAAGTTATGCAACTTATGTGAGGAAACGAAGAGAAAGGAAAATTGTCAATTGAACTCAAGTGACCTAATCAATTTTATTGATTTGCTTAATGCTCTCAAAAAATTGGCATGAATCATATGCAAGAAAGTTGAGGTTTTGTGGTTTTTTTTTTGTTTGCTTTTGCTTTCTTGATTTTGATAATATATGAGAATTGTTAATCTACAGGTGGTCAAAGCATTGGTCGACGACTTCTATTTAAGGTTGCAGTGGAGGACGTTAATTCTTCACATTAATTTGTGAATACAACAAGCTAAGATTGGGGTATGCTTTTTTGGTATTTTGTGTTGTATTTTTGCATTTAGGTTTTGATTACTTTAGTATATTTTTTTAAATTGGGAAATCATTCTTTTATATGAATTGATCAAGTGAATTCAAAAATTAGTTTGAATGTTATACCTTGGGTGTTTTGAATGTTAAATTGGTTTGAATGTTATAGTTTGATTTTCAAGTTTTAATTTAGTGTTAATTTTGGTGTTTTGAATGTTATATTTTTTCAAATAAGTTTGATAAGTTTTGTTATGGATTGAATATATGTTATAGTTTGAGTGTTTTAGATGTTAAATTGGTTTGAATGTTATATAGTTTGAGTGTTTTGAATGTTAAATTGGTTTGAATGTTATAGTTTAATTTTATTTTATTTTTCCATAGGATTTTGATAATAGAGTTTTTATTGAATGTTATAATTAAAATAAGTTTGAATGTTATAGTTTAGGTGTTTTGGAAGTTAAATTGATTTGAATGGTATAGTTTGATTTTCAATTGGGATTTTTCATAGAATTTTGATTATAGGGTTTTAATTGAATGTTATAGTTGTTAGTCGTATGAAATGAGTTTGTTAGTCGTATGAAATGTGTTTACAAGTTTTTTTCTATTAGTGACAATCTCTTTAACAATGCAATATTTGCCTTACGATTTATGCAGGATTTGGATGAAATGGGCCGCAAATTGAACATAATAAGAACAACTAAGCCCGAGCAGTTGGGTTTTCAACTTTGTGCGTGTCCATATTCAATGTTTAATTTTTTTTTAGTCCACACTCAAACATGAATTTGTGCATGCTCTTCTTGATGTTTACGATCAACTAACTAGATTGAGAATCAACAATGGTGTACAATATTTATTTTCCTTCTTTGATTGTGTCCAAGATTAATGTTCATCTTTTTTGAAGAATATCGTGCCTTCAGATGCGTGTTAAAATTCAGACATTGTGTGGTGGTAACTCTTAGCTCCAAAGAAGATGAAGTTGAAGTTGAAGGAAGTTGTTTCTCTCTTTGTGGATGTGTGTTTTGTGTGTACAGTTTGCATGTGTTTTATTTGTTTTGTGTTTAGTACGGTAAACTAATTACACATGATTATGAGGGTATGTTTGGTTTGATGTGAATTGACAGTTGAGTATGTAATTGAGTTGTGATGTATGATGATTGTGGCGAAAATAGAATTGAATTATGGTGATACCAGCATTATGATGATTGAATTATAGAATGTGAGTTTTGTTGACAAGTTGAGATTTTCTTTGGCTCTTATTTTTAGAAAAAGTTTTGTCAAATTTTCTACAAAATTAGTGGGGACTATATTGATTTTAATTTATTTAATTAAAATAAATGATATAAAAACTACTTCAAATTGACGGTTTATTTTAGGTTGTGAATTGCTTTTAGGCACGATAGTATTCTTCAAGTTTTAATTCAATTTTTTGTTACTCCGTGCCTTCGGTATTTACTAGTATATATAAATGTGAGTACTTAAAATTATTGTCTTACCCACAACAAGATAAGTATTTACTGTATAATGTCACCTTATTACGATGATTAAATTTTTAATTAAGTTTTTTATTGAATATGTTACTGTTTGATGTTATTATTTTTGTATTGAGCGTGTTACTGTTTAATGTTAATGTATATATATATATATATATATATGATAGAAAAATAATTTTAATGCTAACACAATTCCCAAGTTAGGATAATACTAATACAATTTTTAATTTAGGAGTTGTTAGTTTTTTCAAATAAATTTTGATTAAATATAACTATTAAGGGTGTTTTGGATATTAGAGATCAAAATAAACTTATTTCGAAATAAATTTTTTGAGTGAATTTAAGTCCAAATAAACATACAAAAAGCAATCGGCATCCAAAGAACCATAGTCCAAACCCAAGGGACTGACTCTTTAGCCTAGCGGATCATCAGCCCTAAGGCCCATCACTTGAAGTCCAGTAACACAACAAATGGGGTCATAGAATTTGATAGGTTGGGCCTTCTTGGGGGTGTCATCGACCTTTATGTATTGCCGAAGTTAACCTATGTAACCAATGAGTTGTTGGTCCAATGATAAGAACTCGAATTTCTTCGCTTAATGCTTGAGTTCAAGTTTTTATAGTTACGATAGCTTGTTAAGACCAAACTTACTCTTCAGCACCTAGAGCACGCGGTGGGACTTTAGCTCCGACTCTGACGTAGGTGTTGTAGGGTCCCCATCAGATAGTTGTGTAATTGCTGAGAGATAATACTTCCTGACAGATATGTAAAGTGATATATCTGTATATCTATTTTAATCATACAAAAAAATGAATGAATAAGTTAACCTATGTAGAATTGGGCTCTGGTAGGACTACCTCAGTTTATTTTTGGGTCCGGTCCTTCTAGAGCTAAAGTTTTGGCCATTAGCTACCAGATGTTTGGGCCAGTAATGGAATCATAGGTTCGCGTGTGGGCTTCCATTATTTTCTAGGCTTTTTTGATTTCACACACACACACTAGCCAGAGAAAAGTATCCACCATTATGGCCCACCGAGGATCCTATGTCCACCTTCCAAATAAAATACTTAAGGAAAATTTCAGTTACACCCTCCTAGTTTACTATATCTTAAAGGAAACCCCCTCTATTATCAAAAATATCACTAAAACTCCTTTTAGTTTATGTTTAAACATCACTAACACCTCTACCATTAAACTACCATTTCTAACAAACAAAAAAATTCATCTAAATACCAAAAATGTCCCTACATAAACCTCAAGTAATTTTTTTACATAAAATTTTATTAAAATTCAAGCCGATTAAAATTTATTTTTTTATGTATTAAAATTTGAATCAATTAAAATTCGATTGAAGTTGATTAAATTTTATTTTTTTAACTTATTAATATTCGAGCCTATTAAAATTTATTTTTTAAGTATTAAAATTTGAGCCGATTTAAACTCTACCTAAGTTGTTAGCGCCGATTAAAATTCGCTTTCGAGCTGATTAAAATTTATATTTTTTCACTTATTAAAATTCGTATCAATTAAAATTCGATTTATTAAAATTTGAGTCAATTAAAATTTATATTTTTCCATGCATTAAAATTCAATACGAGTTGATTAAAATTTGATTTGAGTCGATTAAAAATAATTTTTATTTGGCTCAAATATAATATTAATTAGCCCAAATTTTAATAAAAATTTAATTTTTAATCATCTTAAATTTTAATATGTAAAAAAATAAATTTTAATTAGTTTGAATTGAATTTTAATCGGCCCAAATTTTAATACGTAAAAAAAATTAAAAAATAGAGGGGATCTCATTGAAAATATGCTTATCTAGAGTGGGTGTGGATGAAGTTTTCTCCTCAAATATATCATGAATAATTTAGTAAAATTACATTATAGTTAATATTGTTAATTTGATAGAGAGTGTGAGTAAAGATTCAAAAAATAAACGGGGATATCCTTGAAGATATGGTAACCTAGAGGGGATGTGGTTAAAATTTTTCCAAATAATTAACATTTTGGGCAATGCCCATTTTATGGAATTTGATTGGTATTTTTCCCTTTTTATAGGAGAGGAGAATTTAAACCCGAATTGTTCACGTCATCGTGGCGAATACGAATGACTGTATTAAAAAAATTGTATAAATAACTCCAATTAAGGATAAGTTGGGATAAAATATATTAAAATAGTTTGATTGTGTTCAACGGAGGATGATGAAGACACTAGTTAGAAAAAGTGATAAAAAATTTTTTAATGGTACTAAGAATAAAGATAAAATAAAATAAATATTGAATTAAATAATAAGAAAAGATATAATAATATTTAATTTAAATAAATGTATAGTGCATGACTAAAATAAATGACAAAGACGGACTCATATAATCAACTCTAAATAATTAAAACATAAGACTTAATTTGATTGATTATTCTATGTCACCCTTGCGGTAAGTTTGGAAACCAATATAACCCTCGTTAAAATGTCATGGTAACGTGTAATCAAGTATCCTATAACGGCCATCAATTACTCGGTATCTTTGGCATGCAAGATCATGATAAACCTTTAACAACAATAACTTTATTTTTTTTTTCTCACTTACTAACAAAGAAAAGGAAAAAAGAAAGCACCTATCGAAATAGTTTATTGAAGTACTAACCGAATTTCTCATCTAAAAATAAAAATTTAAGTCTTGAAATCTACATTGAAATTTAATATTTGACCGTTATACAGATCTAACTAGGTTTATTCTCGAAAAAAATAACGAATACGATCAAAGACTTCATAATCTCACCAATAAAAATTTATCGGAGTGATCTCTAAACTTTTGTCCCCACTGATTCTTTTAGCCAGCCAAAAAAACAAAAAAAGGGGAAGCGCCTATACTCACCATTAAAAAAGTACACTATAAAGATAAAAATTTGATTAATCAGTCAAACATACAAATACACCACTGCACTTTCTCGCCCTTTATCAAAGCTTTAGCATCCTATATTCACGCAACAAAAGCATTCTAAGTCAAAAAGACCAAACAGCCCTTTTAATCCTATATAAGCTTTTTTTGGACCCATTCATATCACTCATGTAAAGCAATCGGGATTTTGTCAAGGACTTGAAGTGCATCTTTCATTGAGGGTCTCTTTTGTGGGACCAGTGAGGCACAACCAAACCCTAGTTTAAAGCATGCCAGCGTGGTATCCTCCCTGGCTGCCACATCAGCCCTGATTGCCACGTCAGCCATCCTCAAAACCCTGTTCTTGTCCTCCGCAACCAAACCATTATTGGTCCATTGACCCAATTCCCTACCTGAAAACACCTTCCCAGTTAAAAGCTCAAGCAACACAATCCCAAAAGAGTACACATCCCACTTGGGGTTGGGCTTGAGGTTCTTGAGTGACTCGGGTGCATGATAAGGAGACGTACACCCCACGAACCCAATATGAACTGGTCCAATGTAAGGGCTCGGGTTCCCACCTATAGCGAGGTCTGGTACGCCATCGTCACGAGACGATGCAGACCTTTTGCTACCAAAATGCCGGGCAGAATCGGTTGTTTTGCAGCTGTGTTTGCCTGATATAAGCCAGTCTAGTCCAAAATCACTGATAATGGGTTCCATTTCAGGTGTCAAGAGGATGCTGCTAGGTTTGATGTTTCCATGCACCTGTTTCTTCTCATGGATGTATGTTAGTCCTCGAGCAATGCCTCTTGCTATCTTGAGCCTGACTTCAAATGGTAGGTGATATGGAGAGGAGCCAATCTTCCCTGAAATTCAATACAATGAATTAGACAAGTACACCTAAGAGCCAATCTTCCCAGAATGTGTGTGCCTATGTAAAATGTATGAATGTGAATACAATATTTTGGTGAGGAAATGTAGCACATGCGTTTGGCGTATTGTAAGTTTTTCTTCGAGGTTTACCACCTCTCACATGGAGGACTATTGGGTGGGAGCCACAGATACACAAAACGACCAATAGCACATGACATATCCCAAAGATAGTAAGTCTTTTCTTTCATAAATTGGCCAAATATGTACATATTTTTAAACAAATAGAAGTATAGCATTAATAAGGGAAGGTAATTCTTAATACGATTGCCTAACCCGACTCAAAACCGACATGTAACTAGCGGATGAGGATTTAACCTTAACTGATTTGTGTCATAAATGGGTTGACTTAAACTAAACCCGTTTCATAAATTTATCGACAGAAATTTCAATAAAAACAGTAAGGGTCCAACTGAATAAGAACCATGCATGACAAAAATTCAACTATACATAGACTTTTCTTAGACGAGTTAAAAAAAATCTGAGAGCCACAGATGGTACAAGCAAAACGACGAGTGGCACATGGCATATTTGGCTGAATTTTTCAGAAATTTTATAAAATCCAGTATGTTCTCACAAGTAGGAGTATAATATTAATTCGCTGCTAGTCCGGTTGCCTTGGATTATGATGCATATTGGCCAAGTCAAGATGTGTGGTTTTACATCATAGCCACTGCTCGACCACTGAACAAACCCTACCTATTGTCTCCTAATCAAGGATCACCATTTCCTTTCGAAACGGTCGGAACATCTTAAACGTTTCCGTTTTCAAGAAGATCGAAACGAATCAATAATGAAATCGAAATTCTATTATTTTGAAACATTCCATAATGTTTTGTAATATTTTAATGCATTTGTACAATTATTTGTAAATGTTTCAAGATATTTCAACATTCTTTGATGCATTTCGATCAATATTTTTAAAAAATAATTTTTTATTTTTTTATTTAGTTTTCGAAACCGATCGAAACATTTCCGAAGTACAAATAAGCATATTTTAGCGAAAAACACAGAATTTTGCTAGTGGGCATATCATAGAGATAGAGCGGGAGAGCTTACTATAACCAGCACTGGCTAAGCTGCCATTGGAGATATGATCATAGATCACCAGTTTTTCATCATCTCCCCAGTAGAACCCTCTAACCAGAACCAAATTGGGATGTCTCATCTTAGCAATGGCCTTCACTTGGTTCTCAAACTCCTTCAACCTCTCAACACCACTCTTTCCAATCCTCCTCACTGCAAAAGCAGTCCCATCCTCAAGAACAGCTTTGTACACTATACTACCCCCACTAGACCCCAATACATAAGCAGAAGCCTTCAATAAAGTCTCCAGCTCAAGCTCTGTCTCACCATCAACCATCACAAGTGACCTCTCTTTCTTATCCTTCTCATTTTCCCTTGGAGCATACACCACTTGATCAAAACCGCCATTTTTGGGGATATTTTCATCAGTTTCAGACCCAGTTGCCTCTGATATCTCTCCTCCATTGATGCATAGCCAAGTTGCTCTACCTCTAGAGGTGTCTTCATCTTCTTTGTTATAGTTGAATTCTTTGTTTTCTGGGACTTGTTTGCTTGTGGCTTCTTTTTTCTTCTTCATCAGATGGTACACATAGAGAAATATCATCCCAAGAATCCCAATTCCTGCTAAGTCTCCGACCGCGATTCCGGCTATTGTTCCGGGTTTTAGCCCATGTTGTGGTTGGTTTTGAGTTCCACTTGGGGTTCCAGGAGAGTTTGGTAATGGAGTGGAGTCAATTGTCTTTGGTATAGCTGCAATTGCTGCTGATGAAGTATTTGCAGTGACATTAGGAGGAGTGGATAAAGTGGAAGAAATTGTACAGAGTTTCTTGAGAGGTTTGCCACAGAGACCTATGTTTCCAACAAAAGACTCTGTTTTTTGATTGGACAAGACAACTGTTTGTGGAATTTCTCCAGTGAGATTGTTGAATGAGAGATCAATAGTGGCATTCACTGGAATTTTCTCTGCAAATTCTGGAGGTACTAAGCCAGAGAACTTGTTATAAGAAAGATTCAAGTACCTCAGACTCTCTCCACCAAAATCAACAGGCAAAGACCCATTAAACATATTCGAAGACAGATCTAGCACTTCAACAAATTGAAATTTACTCGGAATAGTACCCAAAAAATAGTTACCTCTGAAAGAAACTACTGTGAGATTCTGAGAAAAACTCAAACTTTCCGGGACGTTTCCGGCTAAGGCATTGTCGGATAGATTGAGAAACTGAAGGTTCTTAAGCCCTTCCGTGAACTGTGGAAGCCAACCGGAGATATCATTGTGGGAGAGAGAAAGGACTTGAAGCTCTGAAGCATTGAAAAGTGAACTGGGTAGGCTTCCATTTAGGAAATTGTTGGAGAGATCAAGAGTCCGGAGGTGTTGAATGAAACCCAAGTCTTCTGGTACTGAACCCAGAAGGTTAGAGTTTGGGAGGACCAAGCTGATGACCCTGAACATCTCTGCTCTGCCAATGGAGGTTTCAACTGCAGCACATGTTACACCAGTCCATAAACATGGCGTTTCATCATTGTAGTTCCAGTTATCAAGAGCTGATAATGGGTCACTAAGAACAGAGTATTTGAAAGAAAGCAAGAGAGTTCCATCAGAGTTTAGAGCACAAGATCGAAGTATAAGAAGCATAAACACAGTATATGAACACCCAAAATGGAGATTACAACTTCTAATGAAGCTCATGATTTCTTGAACTGTTCACACTTCACACCTCTATACTAGACCTTCATATTCATGGAGATGAACAAGAACAATCTAGATAGAGGAGTGAGAGAGATAGGGTAACCAACTACAGGTATGGTTGTTTTGGTGACCAAAACTTAAGGGTGTGGTTGTTATGGTAAGAGCAGTGAAGAGAGCTTAGATATGGAGGTAAGACAGATGCAGAGGGTTAGCTGCTAGGAAAAAGGCCCTGTTTTTACTCTGATGTGATGATAATCTGATAATGACATGTATGGAGCTTTTCAACATTCTACATATTTGAACTTTATCTCTCAATTCGGCATTTTCTAATTTATTATCCAAATCATCTTTATTTTCATAAGAATATGAGTCTAAATCACGTTTTTTCAATATAAAAGTGTACTTGCACAACATGCTTTCAAATCTTAAAAAGTGTGTTTTGCAAGCACGCTTCTTTATTACAAAATTTAAGTCAAAAATACATTTTTATAGATAAAACAATGATGTAAAAACAAAAACGATTATGATATCGAAGAAGATATATTATCAAAAATTAAAATCTCTTAAGGTCAAGTTACAATCTTTTGAGGGTTCAAATTGTAACTCAAATGGTTATGATTATTTTGCAATCTACCATGAAAAATACAATTTAAAAAGGTCAAGCTATTATTTTTAAAGGTGAAATTATATTTTTTAAATTTAAAGTTATAATTGTTTAAAGTACACCGATGATTGATCATGAATAGTTGTAACTTGTCGTTTATGAGCTGTAATTTAATTTTAAACAATGGTATTTTCGGTACAATATCAAAAAATTTATTTTGGTATCGCAACTTTTTTCTATAAAAAATAAGTTAAAAAGTATATTACTAAAAAATAAAATAGAAAAATCAGCTTAAGGTAGTAGGTAATACACGGGACTTGAATGAGCATGGAAAACACACAGTAAATGGCTACTATTGTACTATTTTTGTTTCCCTGTCAATATGCTGTTAAACCTTAGGAAACCTTAAAGTGCTTTATTACATTGTATTAGGAAAGAAAGCAGAGAGGAATCTTTGGGTTTTGCTACAGGACAATATGAGTTGGAACCCAACCGATGAGGGAGTAGCCAAGTCTACCTTCTGCTGACCTTTTGCAATTGTTTTCACATTCTTGTTTTAATTGGTTTCCAATGAGGTATTGGTATTTTGCAGCGTTGACCTTGTATTTTTCTCATATTTTAGCTCTTCCTCTTAGGCTATTAGCAAGTATTAGTCTAAATACCTGAATTGGATGCATGTATTCAAGTACAAAGATGAACCGATGTATTTATGGAATTTGTCGTGACTAACGGGACTTATAATAACTTTCATTGTATATATCAAAGGAGAAGTTTTCGTTACTCCAAGACTTTAAAAATCGTTAAATTTACGTAACTTCTCTTTCCTTGTGATTTACGTAACTTCACTTCTCATGTGAAGATGTTGTTTTCAGGACTTAAACTTTGACGTGCAAATTATAATGTCTAGGACCACCATGTTTCACTATACATCTCATAAGAAGGAAAAGGGGGTAACTTTGGACCACCATGTTTCACTATACATCTCATAAGAAGGAAAAGGGGGTAACTTTTTTTTTTTTTTTTACAAATACTGGAATTAGGTTAAATCTACTATTAGCACCACTACTTATTATAATCTGAGACAGATGAACAAAAATGGCTGACAACCCATATATTTCACAGCTGAGAGTTGCACTCATAGTCATAGCCAGCATGTCACGACAATATTGAGTAGCTATCACAAACGTCAATGATTTATATATATCAACAGTCGTAGGTATTTGAGTCAACTTATGTATACACACATCGACTAATTCTCTCATCGGTCCAATCAAAACCAGGTCATTTGTACCAGAATTAAGGTATTCACGAAAGATAAATCTTTCATAACCTGACTTCAAAGAGTTGTCAAATTTTAAATTCAGAACATCTGAATATACAGTTCATCCATGTTACTATTTGAAATTATGTCAATGATTTACATGCTCATCTAGAATGAAACATATTGTAAGGGACATTTTCATACCTTGTTTGAGAAGCGGGATTTTCTCATATGAAGAGTGCTGAAAAATAGGAGCAAAGCAAGGAAAATTTGTGGGGAGATTTAAGTTGGCAAGTTTGTTCTGTAATAATGGGCTGTCTACCACACTCCACCCATTGAGCTCCAACATTTCCTGCACAGTAGTGAAATAAGAGCATCATTTCTTAATTTATGTACCAGCATTGAGTGCCTAAAATGTTTTATCCTACTAAAAGTAACTAGTTAAATAGGGACAAATTACAACTCACTCGGACAAGTAATCTATATAATAAAGTAACTTAATATGGACAAGTTACGATAAAAAAGTATGAATTGATTTTAAAATGTTAGTCTCAACAATCAGTGGTATTCGGGTTAATTTATGCGCATTTCGACTAATCTCCTCCTTAGTTCGATCAAAAACAGGTCATCCACACTAAAATTATCAAAATTCAAAGTCACAACGCCTGAATTTATAGTTTGTTCATATTACCACTTGAACTACATTTATGGTTAGCGATCCAAATAACTTCATTTTGTTGTAATCTCACTAGATTTTTGCATAACATGACATTCATTTGTAAATTTAATTTTTTTTATACTGTAGTTTCACATTTTCTTTTGTATATTAGCTGCTTCTTTTTTTTCTAAATTTTGCTTGGCTATCTCTCCCAGGATCACCAGCACCAATAAGGGGTATAAATTGAAGACAAAAGAAAAATCACAAGTGTGAAAACCAGTGGTGCAAAAAGGTGCAAAAGAAGACTAAAACCTCACGCTTTACCTTCACGTGTAATCATGTCACAATTGAAAAGAACTATCCGACATTTTTCATTGTTGGGAATAATGGGCCATTACTGAGTCCTTTTGATTGAATTGAATGTGTCCATGGTTTTGGTATACTACTCAGAACTGCTCTACTTTTAATCAAAACCACAATACCCAACACATAATCATAAACCACCTACAAAATATATTTTTTTCTCTTTCTAACTAGCAGATATACGAAGGTTTCAGTGGTTGGGTTAATAGCAACCGCCACACAATTGTTTATGACTTCGAACTTTGTCATCTTCTCTCTAGTATAAACTATTTAAAAAAATAATTAAGCGATATATGAGCTAAAATATTAATAGCTCCGGCCAAATACAATCTCCCCATCTTACATGAACTATGCAATTATTAGAACAACTACCTAAAGTAGTACCAAAAAAAATCAAAATCAAAATCAGAAACATTTAACTTTGCAGAGTGAATTCTTAACTAGCACCTCTATCGAAGCTAATCTACTTCTCTTATATGTCACATATCAACGTGTCATAGCACATATCTTTACAGAAATATTGTATCAGTTGATTGAGTGCTTCGTTGATGATCTTTGTGGTCAAATCCATGAAATGCACTAGCTATATCCGGGACTTGGAAGAGGTCTTCATGTTAGGTTTGTTGCTTAAGGTCACCAAAGCACATCGAAGTTATCATTTTAGGATGAAAATGTTTGTCAATAAAAGAACAGGTCCTGGTTAATCCAATAATTAACTAACATCGTCAAAGAAATAGGATAATTTACTTATTTATTTGGTTTCTAAACTATACCATAAATTTTAATGTTTTATTTCAATTGAACCCTCAACTTTTTAATTTGAACCAACATGAATGTTTTGTCAATTTTTGTCAGATTTTGTAACAAAATGACGCGTCTGGCAATCGCATAATTGTCCTTGTAGATGTATGGTAGATATATCACAAAAACCAACGAATTGTTAGTTCAATGGGTAAGAATTTAGATTTACTTGCTCAATGTTTGAATTCGAGTTTTCATAACTACGGTAACTCGTTGGGCGTAAACTTATTTTTCAACGTCCAGAACCCACAGTGAGATCTTAACTTCAGCCCCGACGTAAGTGTGATAGAATCCCAATAGATAGTTGGATGGTACTGAGAGACAATACTCCCTAGCAGATATATAAAGTGGTCTATCTATATATCCATTTTTTGCACCAACAAAAAAATATATATATCACAAACTATCTCAACTACCCAAACCCAAGGGCGGAGCCAAGAATTTTGCTCAGGGTGAACACTTTAATTATGCATTCTAATTTTTTTTTTCTAACCAATCACACCATATAACATATTTATATTTATTATATTATATTTGATATATGAGGTCATTTAACATAAAAAATTTCAAAGATATATATATTGTCAGGGGCGAAGCCATCAATGTCTATGATAGAGGCAAAATATAACTGGTATAAAAAATATTTAGCTAAAATTAATACAAAAAAATTCAGTTCAAGAATAAAAAAAAAGTAAGAATTAACACTAAATTATTGTGAAATAGTAAATTTAATTTTTATTTACCCGAAACAAAATCTTAACAAAAAGACACAACATATATTTTATATGTTGGTGTAAGGAAGGCCAAAAAAACTCAAATAATTGAGCTTCTTATGTGTTGAGTTTTTCTCTGTTTTTTTTTTTTTTTTGTGATTGCGCAGTGGACAATGGACAGCTAGGAGTGAGTGATACATAGAGAAAAAAAAAAAGATAAGATAGGTTTTGTTAAGCGGGCCAAAAGTTTTGTTTTTAATGTTGAGCCAAAAATTTTGTTTTTAATGTTGCGCTAAAAGTTTTGTTTTTGTAATAGGTTTGAGTGAATTGTGATAGATCAAATATTTGATTTTTTAATAAGTTTGAGTTAATAATAGTAAGTTCAATTTTTTTTGTTTTAAATAGACTTAATTTTTTAATTATTTTGGATAAATAATATGGGCCTAATATAAATGAAAAAGAACACTTAATATATATGTATTAGTCATAACCTGTGTCTGAAGACACGATAAAATATAAAATTCGAGCATCCAAAAAATCGATCCCACTATATTAAATTTTTTCAAAATATATTAACTACAAATTAATTAAATATTAAATAATTAAATATATGATATAAATGAGTTGTGTGATATTTTTAGGAAAAAAATATATAAATAATTAAATATGTGATAGAAATGAGTGATGTGATTTGACGTTTGATTTTAACAAAGAGATGATGGGTAAAGTAAGTGATTGGTAATGATTTTGAGAGGAAAATATGACTGTGATAAAATTCAAACACACTCTTGTGTTATTATATAATAAATATATAATACATATATTTAACTAATAAAAAAAATAAAAATTGAGGGGCACGTGGCCACCCTGGCCTTGCCTCCCTCCGCCTATGCTTAAACCCAATACCAGCTAAACCAGACACAATCGGGTTCAGACCCAAAACCCCTCCACTCCACCTCCAAAAAATTACAAATATGATAGGTACCCACTATTGTTTAGAATTAAGAAATTCGGCCCCAGAATTATGAAAGACAGACGATATTACCTTATCAATAGCAGAAGGGCTCCTTCCATGCCTCCATGGTGAAAGGTTGAAATCAAAATGACCATGAATTGGACATCGTTCATGCTCTTATGATAACTGATCCTGCCATATTTGTCTTTTCTCCTATCCATAGCCTTTGTACCAGAAGACCCACAAAGCTGTATGATCAAAAGCACAACCTAACTCACCAAATGTTATTGGCAAAAACGATGATGAACCAAGGATCAAATTTTTATTTTAGTGCATAATTTTGGTGAGTTTGAAAACAAAAATGTTGCGGTAATATTTCAAAAAAATATTTGGAAATGAGATGTAAACATAGAAAAAATTTTAAAATTTATTTTCAAAACATTAGTAGAAACAATTTAAACATTTTAAAACATAAATCGAAACATCTCAAAATATGATAATTTTGATATTGATTGATTTCAATTTTTATAAAAATAAAAATATTTCAAACGTTTCCGATCGTCTCGAAAGAAATGAACCTCACACCTATTCTTTGAAAGCTTCCCTTACTATGAGCCATATCTTTCAACCATCAGCCAGTACCAATTTCCACCAGAAAGTCTATTGCCCGTGAATTCCTATACTTGAAACCGAACATAATATTACAGCAACTGTGCATGTAGTGGGGTGTATCTAATAGCTAACTTGGAGACAAACTCAAATCAGTTCTGGATACACTTGGCTCCTCTGAGTCTTTTTCGCAAGCAGTTGTGGTACATGAGCTGTATTTCATGGTAAATGACGACAATGACGAGACTGAAATTTCTTCTTGGACATGATAGTCTTCAAATTTCTTCTTGGACATGATAGTCTGGTCCTTCCCCAATTAATCCAACTCATGGCCTTGTCCTACGTTTTCAATCTCCAAAAGATTTTTGACAAGACACCAACTATTGTTAGGAAGTAAATGCAAGGATCCATCTATTAACTGCATCAAAAAAATGTATCTCCTTGAAGTGACTACTCCAATATTGTCAATCTCCATGGTCATAGACTCATAGGAGATCAAGCTCATGAGAAAGCTGTGACCTACACGTTGCGGTGTGAAATTCAATTGGCCTTTTGAGTCTTGCGTTGTTACTTAAGAACTTGTGTGTTTGGTTTGGGAGAACGGAGGGAAAACAAAAGAAGAGAAAGTAAATAAGACTTTGTGTATTTGAATTTTAAAAATTTTTTAGAATCTGGATAAATTTTGTATAAATACCATAGTTTTGATTTAAATGACTTGAATTTGATCAAATCAATAAGAAAATTAATCAAAGTGTGCATAAATTAACTTTGAACACTCCTAATAGTTAAACAAAAAATAAATAAATAAGAAGATATATAGAAGAAGAGAAAGTAAATAAGAAGATATACACAAAAGAGGAAATATTACGGGACGGGATCACATAGAACAGTTTTATTTGTTGACAGAATAATGTAGTAAAGACATGATCTAATAGAATTATATTGTGGTTTAATCGGTACTTAATACTTTATGGGTATTAGACTCCCTTCTAATTGGTAATTGTTTAAAAGTGGTACTTTAATATGTTCAAGAATATAAGAGTGTCAACTCTGACCCGTTGATACAAACTTGACATGCACAATTAAAAAATTAACACTATTATTAAATATACATAATAAATAATCTAAACTATTGTTTAATATTCATAATACACTAAATAAATTTTTTTTCATGGATCTTGATACAAATACAACATAAATAATAAAAACACGACCTAAAAACACACGGCATACAAATCACTCGAAAGAAGACGACGCATACCCCTACCTGAAGGAATTCAATTTGCCTCTATTCAGCGGTCTTGGTCATGTAAGTTTGTAACAATGAGCTTTTTAATGAATCACTCAGTGGCGGATTTGTTTGTCATTTTTTGCATTTTAGTAGAGTTAATTGTTGGGTCTTCCTGGCCGAATAGAGGGCCCACGAGGACTACTTTTCGGACTTCGTAAACGTCATCCCATGACAGATTGGGTCAGCCCATTAATCCAGCTCACGGGATCACGGGCCCAGGCTTAAGCATCATCTCTTTTAGAGGGAAGGAAATTATTACAAAAAAATGATAAATACCATAGATTTTGTCTCTGGTTTTTAATTAATCCTTTAATGTTAATAAGTTTAATTTAATTTTAATTTTATTAATACACATTACGTGTGTTATACGTAAATATATTTAAATAATTTTTTAATAAAAATTTAAATTATATTTATATTTTTAAATAATAATTTTTTTTGTAAGTAATGAATTATGTGTCGAATAAATAATTTTTATTTTAATTATTATTAAATATAATTATTGATTCATTCTACCACTCTTTGAATATTTAATCCATTATTTTTCTAAATATCTCCCTAAACTTTTAGATATTTTTTTATTTATAATGATGTTTCATTGATTTTATAATAATAATTAAAAATAATTTTTGTATATATATATTAATTTATAAGTAATACAAATTAAATTTTATGGCCAAAAAATCCTTCCACTATCTAAGGAAATATCAAATAAGGAATGACTAATTATGATATTTATTCAAAAATAAATAAATGAAGCAAGTAAAGAACCAAAAAGAGAGAAAAAAAAAGGTGTTATAAGCTTTAAGTCATGTCATAGTCAGTAGCTAGGAACTCCACCGCTACCATCAGACCCCAAAACCTGTCCTTAGCTATGCAAACGCTACTACTGCCGGCAGGTCGCTCCGGCAACACACAGCCAGCTTCGCTGCCGTCGGCGGCGGCAAAACCCTCATCGTCTCACTTCCACCGCCCAACTCTCTCATTCAATTTCGCCCCCAATCTCTCCTTTTCTTTCTCTTCCTTAAAGACTCTTCGATCTCTCTGTCCTTCCTCTACATCTTCACCGTCACCATACATTTCTCTGATTAATAGAACAAGGACTTTAGCTTCAGCTCCCATATCTACGGCTTATACTTCCCCAACGACGACGCTGAAAAGGCCAAGCTCGCTCAGGTTCTATCTCTACATGTCTAACTGGTGAATTACATGTATATTAGATTGAATGAGTTAATTTATACATTTAAATTTCGAAGAACAATTCTTGAATTCTCCGTTTAGGTTTTTTTTTTTTTTTTATTAGAGACTCTGTTAGAGCTTTTGATTCTGTAATGTGTTTGGCCTGAAGATTGTTGCTTGGGTTGGTTTATTAGTTTACTGAGTTAAATCATACCCAGAGTGGTCAATGTTGTCAGGTTTGTTGGGGTTTCTGAATCATTTTCAACACAATTGTAGTGTCAATGTGTCATGCATTTATAATGTGTGTTTTTGAAGTGAAAATTCGTCTTTGAACTTAGTAGTTAGAGTTTCTGTGCATTATTGTGAACAATTATGAGTTCTCAATTAGGGTTGCAATGCATTTATTGCTAAGTTTACTTATGAGTTATGAACTGAAGGTTTATGGTAGTGATGAGAAATTTTGAAAATTTTATAAGGTTTTAGTCCTATTCAAATACGATGTTTGTTAACTCTTTGAGAACTTCAAGATTGTGCGTTGAATGCTGGTGTAGGTTGCAAAGAGATTAGAAAGTACTTCAAGGTATTTCAAGAGATTAGGCAGTTTCGGTTTTTGGGGGCAACTAGTCTGCACAGTGGTTGCTGCTGTGATCCTTTCATTTTCTATTGTTATTACCGGGAAGATCACATCGCCTGCTACGTTTTATGCTACAGCTGGTGGAATAGTGGCCGCTTTCATTTCTGTGTTTTGGTCATTTGGTTATATTCGTCTTTCTGATAAGCTTCGAAAAACTGCCACTGACCCTTCAAAGGTAATTTTTTTTTATGTCCTATTCAGTTTTTAGTGTGTCTCTCCAAGAATAGTGCATTACAAATGATTGTAATTTCCTATCACACTGTTTCGTGTTGGTGTTGCTATTACTTTTGAAAGAATCTCACATGGCATTTATAAGTTTCAAATTTCGCCCATATATCAGATGGTATATTTTTCCAGCTTTTTTTCCTGTCAAAAAACTGGAAGAAAAATTGTTGGATGATACCTTGATGTATTGTTGATATGAGAATGTGACTGGATGTTGATTAATACATTGCTAGTTCATATGTGATAGTGAATGTTGCAAAAATTAGCACTTCGAAACATTTGTTGGGTGTTCCCCTATAGAAAAGCGATAGAATTTATTTGATATAAAATGTCCTTCCCAAGAGCATACCAAAGAAACCCAATGGTCAAGGGAACCTCCTACTTCACTCATATCGTTTTTACTACTACTATGGACCCTAAGGAAGACACTACCTCTCTTATCCCATCTGTGCTATTTACTTTCTCTCCCGTGGTTCTTCAATGCTTTGAAAAATTTAGGATTTTCTATTATCACAACACTACAAACAGTTGGAACATATACATTCAAAGTTTCATATCGGAAGTTTGCGTTGGAGAGCCGTTTTCTAGTGAGAGGTGTTACACTATAACAAGTGAACGCTATTAGGTAAATATAGGACTCAAAAAATATGATTCATGGTCATTCCTAGGAGGACTAGTTATGAGGTCACTTTTACTTAGTGACAAGAAAGGGAGAAGAAAAGGTGAAGAGACATTAGCAGATTTCTTTACGGCAGTGAGTTTTCTACGAATGAGATCCACGGTGGTTTATATTTGCTAGGCTGCTAAGTAAATTCTCATTTTAGCTCTCTTTTTGATGTCTATTTGATAAGCCTTATCACCATTGTCCATTTTGGCATGTTTGTCTTTTACACCCATTGTGGGATGCTTTGAGTTTATCACTTTGCAATTTGGGGGCCACATAGTGATGATGCACAAATCGGGATTTATGCACTATTTGTCGAGTAATTAATATAGATAATAAAATACAATAAATATGAAGATGAGATCAACACAAGCAACACAAAAATATAGAGTTGTTCGGTCTAGGTGACCTACTCCACTTTGAAGAGCTTTGATTGTTGGGGTGTTTTATTGTTGCAGGAGTGCGGAGAGCTCGGATGAGTCATGTGTGAGATAAGATGACAGATATAAGCTGTGAGAGCTGCCCCCCATGTGTAGACAGGGCTTATAATTTATAAGCGTCTCCTAACAGATTGAGGCATTTTATTAGTAACAGAAAAATTGATTTGGTGGAGTTGGCGCCATCCTTGCAACAGATGAGGCAATTGTAGAGAGGGCATGAAGATCTCCTCAAGACTAGGTCTCAGGATCGCATGACTGACTTCCTTACTTCAGGATGGCATGGCTCCAAGATGGCGTGGCCTTAGGATGGTGTGGTTGACTGGGTTCTTGGTGAGCCTGGCTAGGTTTGGATCTCTTCTGGGCCAGACCCACTGGGACTTGTCTGGGGCGAGCCCATTATCTGAGTTGGCCTGATTTGGGCTGGGCCCATTATCCAAGTTGAGCCTTGGGTTGGGGCTGTCATTTGTCCCTCATGCCTCGAGCTCAATGATTTTAGGGAGAGGACATTAGTTGGTCCAATTGCGGCTAAACTCCTTTGCTTGGCGAGGACCCTTTTTTGAATTTTCTCTTGAGGTTTACCTTTTCCTTTTTGATATGGTTTATCCTCATGTGAGCTTCTTAAGGTCAATCTTATTCTAATTAAGATACTTGGATGTCAATCCAATTAGATAACTGCCAAAGTAAATGGGAGCTCCTTAATGTCAATGTTACTTCAATTGGGATACTTGAATGTCAATCCAACCAGACAATTCCCAAAATATGTCTCTCTTCCTTTCCCCTTGTTCCATTCCATTCCTTGAGAGGATTAGACTAAAGAGTGATAGAGGGCAGAGGTGGTGTGAGTAAAGTAGGCACAGGCAAGGCAGGCATGGGCACTGTGGTAGGGACGCGGGTGTGGCAGGCACAGGTGATGCTGGAGCAGCAAGTGCCGTGGGCGCGGGGGCAGTGCAAGTTCGTGAGGGTGCCAGGCGCAATAAGCGCAGAGGACATGGGAGTGGCGACGCGAGCGCTAGAGTTGGCGCAGGTCTACGAGAGTGCCTGGAGCATGGGCGCAAACAGGGGTGCAGGAGTTGGCCTGGACATGGTCGTGGGCGCTCAGGGCATTGTGGTTGGCGTTGGCACATGGACAAGTGTAGGTACAGGAGCTAGGCGCCAAGAGGGGGTGCTAGAGACAGAGCGCTAGGAACTGGACGCTAGGAGTTGGGCGCCAGGAGCAAGGCACCTAGAAGGGGTGCTAGGAATAGGGCTCCAGGATTTGGGCAGCAGGAGCAGGGGAACTAGTTCCCAGGAGCAGGGGAACTAGTTCTTAGCGTTGGGAGCACAGGCAAGCCTTGTGCGCACTAGGTGTTAAGCACGGGAGCGCTGCGGCAACGAGGCGGCGGTGTCGGATGGCCGCAAAAAGGATGTGGCCCCGATTCTTGACATTCAATCTAATGTAGGCCTACGGGTTGTATACGGCTTGAGTTTCAAGAACATGCCTAGAGATGACAAAAATAATATTATTCCAGCATCAAAATATCTAACATGATTATCTAGAGAAAGAGGCAGACACATTGGGCTGTAGAGAAATAGAGGTTGCTTGCGTGAGAGCAAAGGCAGAGGTTGAGAGTTGGTTGTGGGAAAGTTGTATCTCTTGAGACCCAGCTTTTGGCGACCCAGGAGAGAGCCACTAAGTTGGAGGTAGGCTGACTGTGAGGTTACCTGCACTAGAACAGAGGTAGAGTTTGAGGGTTGCTCGCGAGAGAGTTGTACCTCTTCAGACCAAGCTTTTGGCGAGTCATGAGAAAGTCGCTTAGTTGGAGATAGGTTGACTGTGAGGTTGCCCACATGAGAACAGAGACAAAATTTGAGGGTTGCTCGTGAGAGAGCTGCACTTCTTGAAACTGAGTTTTTGGTGACCTGTGAAAGAGTCACTAAGCTGGAGGTAGGTTGACTATGAGGCTACCCGCATGGAACAGAGGTAGAATTTGAGGGTTGCTTGTGAGAGAGCTGCACCTCTTGAGACCGAGCTTTTGGCGACCCGTGAGAGAGTCGCTAAGTTGAAGGTAGGCTGATTGTGAGGCTAAGCAGAGGCAAAATTTGAGGGTTGCTTGTGAGAGAGCTACGCCTCTTGAGACTAAGCTTTCGGTGACCCGTGAGAGAGTTGCTAAGTTGGAGATAATTATGAGGCTGCCTGCACGAGAGCAGAGGCAGAGGTAGAGTTTGAGGGTTAGCCCATGGAAGGGTCACCAAGCCGGAGGGTCACTCTAGTAGATGGAGATAAGGAGGGCGCTGAGGAGCTGGGCGCCTAGGCAAGAGCGTTAGTCCCCTAGCCCTTGGCGCTGTGTCTTCTCGACAATCTCTCTTCTCAAGCAGTGTGACCTCAGTCACAAAATTGTTTATGTCTGTGCCATTGTGGCTTCTTTTTTAGTAGTCGGGCACAGGTGGTGATGATGATGGCGTGGACTTGCTTCGCTTGGCTTTGGTAACGTCATTGGCGTTTATGTATTTCTGAGTTTTTGCCCACAATTTTAGCATGCTCTTTAGTGGGCGCTTCATAACTGAGAAGAGAATGCTAGATTATCATAGGCCTCCCAAGAAAGCGGTCATGGTGACCTTGTCATCAAGCTCCTCAATCTGGAGGACCTCCTCGTTAAAATGAGTGAGGTAACTCCTCAGGCTTTCGTCCTGGTCTTGTTTGATGCCAAGCAGGTGGGTGACAGGCTTTTGGTGTTATTTGTCCTCCGATGAAAATGTGAGACGAATGATCTGCTCAGTTCAGCAAAAGTGCCTATGGAGGCCGGGATAAGTTTGACAAACCACTGGCGAGCAGATCCCTTGAGGGTATTAGGGAAAGCCCTGCACATGATCTCGTCTGGTATGTTGTACACCTGCATCAAAGATTTGTAGGTGTCAAGATGGTCCAATGGGTCTTTGGAGCTATCAAAAGCTTCCACGGTTGGCATCTTGAACTTTGGGGGAAAAGGGTAGTTAGCTACGTCAGTCACAAAGGGCGTGTCAGTGCACCCCACTAGGTACTCAATCGTTTTAGGTTCTTGCGCCTTAAGGTACATAGCTTAGCTGATTCTGCACCTCTTTAATTTTTTCGTCCCGTTGGTTGGGGACGCCTTGTGAAGGACTATTGTGGTGGCTTTTGTGGTTTACATACTGGCTTTCTCCCTCGCCTTCTTGTATAGAAGGGTCACCAGTGCGGGAAGGCTGAGCCAGCACGTAAGGAAGAGGAGTTAGGACGCCTGGGTGCTGAGGAGGGATGCCCTGACACTGCAAGGGAGCCCTCTGGTGTTGGGTGCCCTAGCATTGGGGCCCTGTTGAGGGGCGCCTTGGTGCCCGGGGCAGATTGCCGGGGGGTTGGGGCACAACTCTTTGAAGGTGTTTGACAAGCATCAACTAGAAGATCTGCTGGTTTTGGTTCACCAACAACTATATTTTTTTTGATAGTTGTTTGTCTATGGGATTTGCCGCAACGACAAGGTTTGCTGGTGGAGGCAAAACCTCCTCGCAATGTGATGGATCGTCCTCAGGTTGAATCATGGATGTGGTGGTGATTGCTATAAATATAAAAGGATGGTTGAGTGAAAACTTTGTCGTTCTCACATATGGTACCCAACTGATGATGCACAAATCAGGATTTATGCACCACTTTTTGAGTAATTAATATAGATAATAAAATTCAGTAAATATAAAGATGAGATCAACACAAGCAACATACAGATATAGAGTGATTCGGTCAAGGTGACCTACTCCATTTTGAAGGACTTTGATTGTCGGGGTATTTTATTGTTATAGGAGTGTGGAGAGTTCAGGTGAGAGCAATTAGAGCTCAGGTGTGCGATAAGATGTTAGATACAAAATGTGAGAGATGCCCCCAATGTGTAGGCGGGACTTACAATTTATAGGCACCTCTTAACAAATTGTGGTGTCTTATTAGTAACAGAAAGACTGATTTGGTGGAGTTGACGTCATCCTTGCAACAAATGAAGCAATTGCAGAGAGGGTGTGGAGATCTCCTCAAGACCAAGTGTTAGAATGGCATGGCCGACTTTTTCACATCAAGATGGCGTGGTTGACTGGGTTCTTGGCGAGCCTGGCTAGGGCTAGGTCTCTTCTGGGCCAAATCTAGTGAGCCTTGTTTGGGGCACGCCCATTATTTGAGTTGGGTTTGATCTGGGCCGGGCCCATATCCGAGTTGGGCCAGGCCTATCACATAGTATCACTATTTATCTGTTCAAATTATAATCAGTTCAGAAATGGCTAACTTTTGATGATATTAATTTTTCCTATGTAGCGAATAAAAATGATGATGTCTTTATATCTCATCAGTTAAAATGACTGGAGCATCAATGGCATACTTTTTGATTTTCTTTTTCAGGCTCCTCCTCGTGCCGATGTTGTTAAAAGCTTGAAAAATGGCATAATACTGAATCTTTTGGGAATGGGTGCTGCTATACTAGGCATGCAAGCTACTGTAGGGATATTGGTGGCTAAGGCTCTTACTACCTCAGCTAATCCTTATTACCAGGGTATTTCTCCCGGGAGTTCTCCTGTTCTTGCATTGGATGTGTTCTTGGTACAGGTATTCTTCTGGATCCAATTAAACTCTTCCATCAACATAACAGCAATTCTTTCAATATGAAGTCAGGGGAGACCGTTTATATATCACAAGTCCAGAGTATATATCAGTTCCATACTTCCAAGCCTTCAACTTGTAACCAAGTGGGAAGAAAAAAAAAACACTTCTTTTCTATTTTTATGGAGTTAATGAAAAAATTTATTTCCTCGGCTTTCCAGAATGGAGGTTTTTTTGTGGTTTGGAGGGGCTCTAATGTTGCTATTGTTTTAGTAAATTTAGTTCTTACAGTTAGTTTAACTGATGAGAGCAGCTAATAGGCTTTTGTCAATTAATTTTTCTCTCTTTTCACCCGTGTATTATGTTTACAGGCATCGGCAAACACCATCCTTTCTCATTTTTTGGGCCTCGTTTGCTCCTTAGAGTTGTTGCGCTCAGTCACATTACCAACCTCAGAAAGCATTCCAGTTCCTAAGGTCGCATGAGCTCCCCCCATTAGCTACTGAAGAATATGGCCCCCGGAAGTTCCAGCTGAAAACCATGTCAGGTGAATCATAGTTGTCACAAAAACTTGTTTGCGGGTGAGATTACAATGACAACTAGCCATGTATTCCTTTTCCATGTTACAACCCACATTTCCCAGTGCAATCCAAGTATGATGAGTTGTGTGCTTGAATTTTTCTACTAGAATTAAGCTTCAAACAGTGCTACCTCGAGCATTTTATTTGCTTTTTGTCTGAGAAAGGTTAGTAAATTTTTATTTCACACACTAATCCGTGTGATTAGTTTTTACCTCAGGATACAAGTCGACTAAGCCGAGCCTTGTTATTGTCCCAATTGTCTGGGTCGACTCAGTTGTTACACCAGGATTACAATTGAACCATATAGTCCTTTTTATTGGGGCCACAAGAGATATGAATTTGCTATCAGAAGACTTTGAACCTGGAAATGTGGTTCTGAACATGGTTCGGATTTTTTAGATTTAACAGCAAATACATCCCATGGGAAATTGGCATGATTTCATAGGGCTCTGAACAAATAATTCTCGTAACCCATGATGTTTTTTTAGGTTCTATTTGACATGGTTGGATCAGACAGTGATTTACCTAACTTACCTTAGGAGGTGGTCACTATATTTTGACTCTGTGTCTTGTCAACCAAACATGTCCTAAGAATTCTGCTACTCTTCTCTTACAATTGAACTGACTGAGTTCAAATTCAGAAATTCTAATTGCAAAATCAAATATAGAATTCCATCCCAACAGGAATAAACCACAGAGAACTCTTTAAAACAATGAAACAGCTCGTTCGTCAAATTTATGACTTTGAATCTCAAAAACAAAACCAAGATCACCCCATCAGAGTACTTCTCTTCATGGTTGAAAGTAGATGTCCATACCAAGCATCCCACAAGAAGGAACCTGAAAATGGTTGAGGGATTACAAACTTTCTACAACCATGTAATCTCAAACCATGAAAGAACCAAATGGACCTAGCAGCATTCAGAGCCACATGAAAGTAAACAGATGCAACTAGAAAACAAATGACCTTATCTTGCAGAGGTCAGCCAAATTAATCCCCATGGTGTGCTATGTATGGGTTCTTTTCCAAATTTACTAATTCTACATCATATGCGAGTATTGAACACTGAAACCCTCAATCATTGAAAAGAAACGAATCTCAAGCTACAATAAACAAAACGTTTTCCAGCAGAACTTTGATTCAAGCCTGGTTTGAAACGTCACCAAACTAAGTCCATAGTCTTAGACACTGTTTATCCTCAACTAAAAGAAAGAGTCACAAAATTGTTCACAAATTTCATGTACACAACTAAACTTAAAAATTAATTCTACATTTAGGGGAACTTCAGAATTTTCTCTCTTACACGAATACAAACATTCATATTCATCCTCCTCATGGTATCATAAAATCCATCCAATCACAATTAGAAAACAGAATTAGACATACAATCCCTTCAAAAAGGATCATAAATAGAGATGAGGAATAAATAAAACTTCACAACAGTCACAGGTATGCTTGTCTAGATTTGTGCATTGAACATTTAGCTTGCTATTCGTAGAAACAAGTAGACACACCATTGATATAACTAGATTCGAGTTTTGTGATGCTTGCTTTACCCAGGTTGGTTACCCCATTTTTGCTTGTGCCCTTTAGCGCCAAAAAAAAAAAAACAGATGAATATTAGGAATGTACAGGTATCTTTCAACATCTACAGATCTACACAGCTGATAGAATTACTACATCCTTTTTTTCTCCCGAGTAAACATTGAAGCATCAAAAAACAGCCACAGAATGTTGTCTCAGTTTTAAGGAGTGTTAGGGTTAACTAAAAGTATGATGGAGATAACCCCCAGTATACAAGACAAACAGATGAGGTCACTACAGTACACAAGCTCCAAGTCAAGCAAAATCAAGTAAAGTTGCCTTTAAACAAGAACCATCAACTCAGCTCAGAAGTTGTTTCCAGGTTAATTCCTCTTCTCAATTATAAATCAAGTTCAGCAAGTACCAAACTCATAACATGCATAAAATGACTAACATCATCTTATCTGCTATAAAAGTATCCACCCATCACTTCTGGAACCTGGATAATATTTGAAAAGCTACAACATTAATCGACTAGGTCCTTGGAACACAATATGATTAATATCAGTTCATTTTTCTCTAGGTTGCAGAACAAGTATGAAGAAGATTCTGCATTTATTGAACGTGGTAAACTCAAATAATGTATATTTTCAATTATACCAATTCAACCCAAATATCATAAAGGTAGTACCGAGTGCACAAGACTGTGAGGTAAGTGGTAAGATTGGTAGTCAACCTTATAGTACCAAAAACTCAACATGCTGACATTTAAATTGGGTTATGCTTTATGCCCATGATCATACCCTATTTTGAGAGCAAATTCTCGGAGAGTGTAACATCGTCACATGCACAATCAGAACTAAAACAACATATGGGCATTTGACATATTACTACACTTTTAGACAAGCTGGTGTGGAACTAACTATTGTTTGACAATTACTATCCAGTCACATCAAATACACTTAGAAGTGGTACAAACATACATACATGTTCCACATATATACACACACACACGCACATGCGCGCACACACAGAGAGGGAGAGATTACACTATGTCTACTGAGTCTTCTCTTCCTTGTTAAGAGCCTTCGATATCTTAAGATGTTATCATCAATTTTCCGATACTGTGTTTGAACATTTTTTTGTAGTATTATCAGCTTTTCCTCAATTCGATCCTGGTGCTTGTCATATACAACAGGTACTGATAAGCTGAGAAGAATCCCTGTTGCAAAATAAAACTAAAAATCATATAAATGAAAAATTCTCTGAAAAGGCTTTCAGAATCCAGATTCTTATTGAGAAACAAGCAGCAAATAAATGACTTACCGGCATATGCCAGAGTAAGTAAGTCGAAAAAGCTACCAATGTAAGAAGTCACCCACAAGCCACAGCAACCTGAAGAACCATAACCACATCACATAAAAACACAATTTCAAGCAATTGTATGCAAGTTAAGAGTACATAAATGATTTCATTCAAGAAAATAACAGGATGACCTCAAGAAAAACTTTCATGTTTCCATCAACACCGATTTCGCGCGCAATTGACAATGCACGATCGATCCAGACTTGCAGAACATCAAAAGCTCTCAAAACGGATTCATCAGAAACTTGCAGATCAGGAAGAGGAAGCAAAGGCCTAAAACCACATAGTTACATGTTTGTAAAAAGATCTAAGGATCCCATCAAACGAAAACTTATCAGAAAACCTTCAAACCGATCCAAAGCATCAAAAGAACAACATAATCGTAATATATACACAAAGAGTTTCGATCTCTAATTGAAAAACTTAACAAAAAGAAGAAGAAAAAATCGATACAAAGTATCAAGAAGAGAAGTATATATATACGATACCTATTAAGAAGTGATGCGGATTTAGCCCAGAAGAAAAGGATAACAACGAGAACCAGCACAACATTTGGTATGAAAGAAAGAAGGTTATATCCGGCTCAAGAGCAACCACAAGGTGGTGGCAGAGACTAGTAGAACATTACTTCCACACCATTTCCTCCACAAGAGCACCTCAGCAACTGCATCCAATCCAACAAGAAGGGAATGAATTCACAACAGTCGACATCACCAACCCCACAATGCAATAAAACACAGTAGAGAGAGAGAGAGAGAGATGACCAGAGACACCGCCAATAGCGCGATGAACAGAAATCCGGTGACAATCTGCCATGGCGATCAGGTGTCCCGATAGTAAATGGAACAGATAAGTCATACAATGTATTTACTCGTAAATTTTGAAAACAAAGAAACTGTCTTTCAATTTTAACTAAAGGTACAGGTTGCCAATGCTTAATTTGGCCCAAAGGAAAGGGCTGCTCAGATTGGGCTTGTCTTTGCTTATATCGCTAAGAGGCCCATAAGCTTAAAGAGACTATAATAATTTCTTTTTTTTTTCTTTATTTGGAATTACTGTTTTATATTTTCAATATTGTGTTTTTTTTTTTGGTGACACTTCTAAGTAAAATCAAGGCTATTCTAGTGAAATTAAGAAAAAACTTGGGACGAGTCTCATTAGCTACAAACCAATTTCATCCGTTTTTATCTTAAAAGTTGATTTTTAAAAGTAGATCTAAATCCCGATTTATGGCATGTCTTTAATTAAGATATCATGTCATCACTTAACCCACTTTTTTTTTTTTTTTTGTGATTCAACAGGGATGTTGGAGCTAGCGTGCACACATTTCGACTAGTCCTCTCTTTAGTCCAGTCAAAGATCGACCATCCGCGCTGAGAATATAACATTTATGAGGAATAAATCCCAATTTTTTGCTGACCACCTTCAGTTGACCGGATCAAACCACTACCCAATGCCTCCTTAAATTTGGTAGGAGTTGCTTCACCGAGCCTAATATATTTTCGGGAATTAATGCTAAAGAATACGCGTTAGTCCCACACTAATATGGTGGCATTACACGAAAATCATTTATCGTTACACGTCAATGCGCACACACAGATTTGTATAGTCCAGTGAAAACATGTCGAACTAGTAAAGTGTTGTTTCAACAACACAATAATAAAAAAAACTTGGCCCATCTAGTTCAAAATGAAGCACAATATTATCTTTTTTGGGTAAAATACCAAGCATTCCAACCATGCACTCTTTAGGCTGATAACTTTAACGTAAACTTTGGATGCACGTAATTGCTCGAAGAATGAAGCACAATATTGTGGTGATATCCTTGGTAGTGAACCCTAGGTCTGGAGTAAAAGTTTTAGTCAGATCTCACTTGTTTCAACGCGCGTCATCATTGTCCGACTCCATATCATCGTCTGAAGATTCTTCCTTTTGATGCTCTTCTCCACCACCATTCGATTTGCGCTTCTTCTGTTTCTTCCTTTGTTTGTTCTTTTGGCGTTTTGAACGCTTTTTTGCTGTGCGCTCTTCTGCAGCTTTTATCCTTTCCTCCCTTCTTATGTTAAATTCTGCAAGTTCTTTCCTTCTGTGGTAGTCAACATCCATCCTTGCAAGCCGGTCTTGTTCTTTCCTTCTCATTTGCCGATACTGTCAGACACAAATTCCAGAAACTAAGTGTAATGAATATACATGACTTGATCAACATCTCCAATGACTTAAGACGAAGAACGTGCATAACAGATCTAAATTAATGTGCTAAAACACCACCTGGCAACATTTCAGATGTGCAAGAAAAATGTCCAAACTTACGCCAAAAAAATCATAGTTGAGAAGGAAAGAAGAAAGCAACATCGCGTTGTGTCCACAAATTCCTTATGTTATGACTGATTTGTAGCTTTTTGCTAAAGATGAAAGCCAATGACTACCTTTTCTTAACACGTACCCATCACTAATGACTACTTGAGAAGGAATTCTATATCTGCATTTCCAGCAACAAGGACAAGAAAACAACTATTTGCATTCCAATATAACCAGATACCAAGAGAAACACAGGCAGGGACTCACAAAGTGGACACAGTATGAGGCGGACAGACACATCAGCAAACAAAATCCTAAAATAGTAGAACAAGGACATGGGGAGGACAAGGCAAATAACTAAGATGGTTAATGTCATCTTCCAAGCCCCATTAATTAAACCTTCATATGCCTTACACTGACCTTTAAATAAAACAAAACTTGCAAAAAAATGTTATAAGGATCTTTATTTTTATAACTAATAGCAATTATATTCTTCTATCCTGATATACAAGCATCACATCCCACCTTTCGAAGCCAAATATTCAACATCTAAGATCCATTCGAAATTAAGATATTTATATTTCCGGGTTAGACATTGTACTAGTCCTTCTTGTGGTCATTATTGTAGTAGTCCTTCAAGTATGGGCTTGGTGTCACTTTAGTCTTCATTCTTTCAACTTAATTACTTTAGTTGCTCAAATATATAATCTCACTTTGGTACAAGAAAACAGAAGTAATGGTTCTCAAGTGCCTTCAGAATGTCCCTCAAGTGTAGTAACTAGTACCGTAACAACTTTCGTTAGTCAAGTTAAACAGTTGGACAAAATTAAAAGAATGATGACCAAAATAACACAAAACGCATGATTGAGGGGACATTATTGTATTTTGCTCTATTTTTTAATATGCACATGGCGAAAGAGTTATTGAACACATATCTAACAGTGTCCAAGAAATGTTGTTATCCAACAAAGACAGGTGACCTTTCTAGATGCTTGTTAGCCTCACAACTAAGATGAAGAATTAAAAACAAAGAAGTTCAAAATTTTGTTTACTCCTTCCCTTAAATACATAGACCAAAAAACACCATTGTATCCTCTAAACCCTCTGAATCATAAAAGACTGTGCCAAATATTACTAAAAAGGAGGACAAATACCTGAGGGGGAAACCAGCTGATCCCATCTATCTAAAACAATAAAATCGGAATTATAAAAGTGGGCAATGAGAAAGAAGCGATACAACAATTATTATTCAACCCGTGCAAAGAAAAAACAGTTAAAGTACCACCTTACTGTAATTAGGTATTTTCCTAAGAGCAATTGTTCAAGTGTGTGTCTTAATTCTTTCCCCTCCCCCCCACACACAGAAAACAAAACAAAACAAACAAACACAAAAATAAAAAGTGCCTTAATATAAGATGGAAATGGAATTATGGATTTTCAAGGGAGTGCTGAGTGCTCCATAAATTCTAAATCAAACACGTGCCTCGAGGCAGTTGTCATGTTTCTTTTATTTATCCAAATTAATTGATGGGAGTACGAATGATAGGTTGACTACCAGCCGCATGAATAATATATCTAAGTAAAAGCCATGCTCTCATGTCCCAACATAATTAATCTGTTGATCCTGATGAACTTTATTGATACTTCACCTTTTCTTAACGTCATCATTCTTCCAACAGTTGCAATGTTGGCTGAGTGTTTCTCTTCTGAAAAAGAAAAGCATTGGGGATGATATTGCCATGTTTCTAATGGATTTTTTTTTATCACCTCCATCACAGCATCCATTATTTTCCGAAAGATGAGCAATTAAATAAACAAATTATGCATCTGGAAACACCTGAGATGCATCAGCTGAGCACAGAAAGCTAGTCAAACGTGTTCAACAAATACTGGCACATCATGAAAAAGACCCCTAGCCCCATTGTGGTCCAATCGCATCAATCGACAAGCAACTCATTACCATCTGTTTATGGATGGTATTTCCATTGCATTCTTAAGCCATATGTACTCACTTTCCACTCCAATCTAATCTAGGTATTAAGCTATTCCAACAAGCACCAATCTCTGACAAGTACAATTTCTCCATGCCTCATATGCATAACCTGCCTAAAATTACTTATTGGTTCATCCCTTTATGGCTTCCTTAGTTAAGATATCAATTTCCAAGACATGTTATCTAGTGTTATCTTGAGAGTTTACCAATTACCATTGACAAAATAAGACCTTTCTCTACCCATTTTTACTATATTCACATATACACTACTTTCCAAGCCCCAATCAGTTAATTACCTCTGGACTTTTGTAATTTCACTCCACTATAGTCTATAAATAAATATTTTTCTTCCTCAACCAATTCCTTATATGGATTATATGGCTTACTCCCAGAATGCAACTTTAACTAGTGCACCAATGAATACTCAAACAATTACTGGTACAATGAAGCCACGTCCCTCTTCCACTGACAATAAGTAGCCAGTATCCAACCTCTGTTGTATCTAACCCTGGTTGAACTAAAAATTAATACAGTATCCAATTGTAAACCTAACTCGGCAGTCATTTGCATACCTCCACCATTTGCCAGCACTGCTGAGCTTTGGATTACAAGTTGTAATTTATTTAAGCACTTATCCAAAGAACAAATCTATCCTTTGATATTTGATCCTAGTCACCAAGCTGAGCTAACGTGCATCCAATTGGCTGTGGATTGTTTAGCTCCACAGTTACTGTTGGCGGAAATCTAAACTCAGTGTTTACCATCTTTATTTGTAACTATCATGAATGCACAACTAGATTACTTGCCAGCAAAAATAGGTAACTAACATACCGAAACACCAAGTCTGCTACGACTAGTACAGAGTAGTAATGAGAAATCTTTGACAATTAAGACCAGTTTTGCACTAGTTTTAATATTTGAACACTTGATATTGAACAAATTCAGGAACTTCAATTCAGTTGAGAAGCCAAATAGTTCAATAGCTTAATTTAGGTCACAAAAATGGGTATTGAGCTTCTTATCCTTGACCTCTTATGGCATATAACGTAAGCTCAGACCTCACAACTAAAACAATTTCACAAAGTTGCAATCTTATGGCATTTCAAGAAAAAGGAAAACATAAAAACTGTTCCGTTGCAATCTAGGGTTTTATCGAAACCGTCAATTTGATGTATAATACCTGATGAAAGTCGCCAGAGCCAGAACCGGCTGAGCTACCGGAGGTGTTGCTGACACGGACGGGGACGCATTCAAGGATGCGACGAAGCTTGATCTCGAGATCCTCATCTTCAATATTTGCGGCAGGCGGCGTATACTCAACCAGCGCGGACGATGTAGACGCCGGAGGCCGAGGAGGGAGAGCGGCTACCTGTTTCTCCGTCGTCGGAACCACCTGCAAGTATTCGTCGCCGGTGGTCCTTGGCCTTCCGGACGTCATTGAATTTTGAAAAAAAAAAGCCTAAACCCTAAAATTGGGGATTGGATTACCAGCTTCGCATTAGTCACAGTGCTGTTACCTTATAGTGGATTAAAGTTTCTACGAATTGGATGAATGAACTTAACCGCACTGAGAATTGGAAACCGACTCGTACTATCTGATCGATGATGTTGCGACTCGGAGAGGAAAAAAATAGTCTAGTATTAGTGGAAAGAAAATGGAGTCCTCCAAAACTCCGGGTTGGTGGTTCACGGATTTGAATTGACCCGTTTATATCCATTGATCGGATTGGATCGAAATACGAAGGGGGTTGATTGGTTGTTCATGTTTTCTCACAACAGTACGGAATTGATTACCACAAGACAGTCCAAGTGCTCATCTCTCTAGCTACAAGGCCAAGAGCGGATGGACGTAAAAACTACCTTTCTCTATGAAGTATGGTCCAATTTATGAGAATTTTTGTTGCTCTAATTGATAGTTTTATGATGTAGAGTTAGGCTATAACTCCCGTCAATTTTTGGAATGGCTTGTGATTTTTGGACTTACAGACAAACTTATCTCGTGGATTCAAATTGTTATGCTCACCTCTAGACAAAAGTTTCACCATTATTAGCCTTTTGACCCCTTCTTTTTTTCAAGAAAATAAAAAAATTCATTGAGATGCAATATTGGAAGAAAATTTTTTTTCAATACATAAAGATCAAGAGATTATTACGTTATTATTGAAATATTTGGGGTTCATTTGTATAATTAATCAAACTCTTTCACGGTACAACATAAGAATTTGAGAAAGTCCTTATATTATTGTTAAAATATACTCAGTACACTAATGCTTTGTTTGGTACGATAAAAAAATGGGAGGATAAAAAGTTAGAATAATGAAAAGTTGAAAGGATAACAAAAATATCATGTTTGTGTTGAGATGTATATTATTTGTTTATATATCTTATGTATACATTAATTTCATATAAAAATACAATGGTAAAATATGTATATATTTTAAAAAATAAAAATTTAAAATTAAAAATTAAAAAAATATATATTTTTTCCATCCTAATGGTGAAATTTTTAAACTCGACACGATGACACGACTCGAACTCGATACGAAAATAAACAGGTTAATTTGCAACTCGACACGACACAATTAGTTAAATTTAAGTTAGGTTCGACTAATATTCGACACACACTCGTAATGACTTAACACGAATCTGACACGATATGACTCAACTCAATTGTCACCCCTAATCTTAGCCAGCACAAAAAAAAAAAAAATTTAAAAAATAATTATTTTTATTTTCTATCTATCTAATCAAATACAAAGAAATGAAAGTATATCATTCCTACTTTTCATTCTTGAAAGATAAAAAATATATTTTACCTATTTTTCATCCTTCTTGCCAAATGGAGAATAAGTAATGACAAGTGATCATTTTTTGGATTATGTGAAGTTTTTAGAGATGACCACTAAAGTCATTGTTAGTTAGTTGTGTTAGATAATCATATACTAACCTAACTTTTTTGTTAATCATATCATATTTGGGTTGTCACCAATAATCATGAATGAAAACTTAGAATTAATAATTTTTTTTCTCATAATCAAACTAATCACATATATGTCTCGTACAAATTTGCAAAAATTAGTTATTCATAGTTATATATAAAACCCCTCCTCTATTATGGTCCATTTGGTACGATAGAAAAGTGGGAGGATGAAAATTTGGAATGATTGAAAATTGGAGCAATAAATAAAACATCATGTTTGGTAAGGAAAGAAAGTAGAAAGGATAGAAAAGTGAATGGATTAACTTTCCTTCTAACTCACTAAAATCAATTCCTTCAAAATCGGAAGGAAAGTAAATGAAAAGTTAATTATTTGTGTTAAGATGTATTTTATTTGTTTATATATCTTATGTATACATTAATTTTAAATAAAAATACAATGGTAAAATATTTATATATATTTTTAAAAAAAATTAAAATTAATTTAAAAAAAATAAATAATAAAAAAAATAAAAATTTTAAGATAAAAAAAATATTTTTTCCATCTTAACTAAGGGAAAAAATTTTCTACTCAACACCATGACACGACTCGAACTCGAAACGAAAATAAATAGGTCAACTCGTAACTCGACACGACACAATTAAGTTATATTTGACTAATATTCGACACAAACTTGTAATAATTCAACACAAATTTGACACGACACGACTTAACTCTATTGTCACCCCTAATCTTAACCAGCACAAAAAAAAAATAGTTATTTTTATTTTTTATCCATCCAATCAAACACAAAGGAAAGAAAGTGTATCCTTCTTACTTTCCATCCTTGAAGGATAGAAAGTGTATCCCTCGTACTTTCCATCCTCCCTACCAAACGATACATTATTATCTTAATTACTTATAATTATTCATAATTACGTATAATTTCTTATAGTTTATCTCTTACAACTCTTGTATTTCTCTCTGTCTCTCTTTAATCTCCTAATGCGACATATAATGCCAGGGAATTTGGAATCTCTTGAGGCCTAACTAAGCTCTTGATTATCTCCCAATTAGGTTTTAAATTGTTGTTTTATTAGTGGGAATAATGGAAGCAATGACATGTGACTTGTACTTGGGGAAACAAATTTTTTCATAATATAACAGTTGTTGTCGGAGACATTATTGGCAAACGAAACATCCTCCCGATCCTTCATTAACATTTGTAAAGTTATTATTTTTAATAAATAAGTGACGGGATTTTAGGTGGTTTGCCACTAACGAGTGGACACGTGAACAATTATAGTAATTAGAGCGTGCACAGCGGGGCCGGGAGAGGTGCCGAGAAGTTATGTTAGGAAATGGTCAAGTACGCCCCTCAAAGCTTAGCATTAAAAAAGATCTGACAATTTATTAATGTAAGTCTTGAGTGACTGTAACAAAAGCCATTAATAAGTGTTTAAATCCTCAAAAAATATGGAGACAATCATAATTACAAGGTATTAGTGGCTATTATGCCAACATGAAGTCCTTGGTCAACCCTGAGGGTATTTTTTCCGGACTAGTAAACGTTCGGGCGTTGGTATCAAGCACCGAAATGAGGTATTTAATGATCAGTGGATGAGCCATGAATGCTCAACAATTCCCGAGCAAGGATCCACTGGCCCAAGGAGAGCGGTCTTGAGAAGATTTGATGGGATGATGACACTCTTTATGTTAGAATATGAGTGCAAGCAATTAAATTAAAAGAAGGGACTCAAAGGAACTATCATCATTGCAAATTTAAGTATAAAATATCCCTCAAGATGTTAGTTCAATATACGTAATCTAAAAATAGTGAATATATTGTGTTGATGACTTCAATGTCGATTGATTTGAGTTTCGGAGCGAATTAGTCGGGTGCACACTTGGGCTCTTTTTCTAATTTTTTGTTTTAGACTCATCGTATCATTACCTCAATTCGTCACAGGAATTCACCCATGCAAATAAGTTTATATATATATATATATGAACTTTGTGCAAAATTGTCTCTCCACACACGAAGATAAATTTATAAGCAATGGTCCCAATAAATGTTTCATAAAATATTCGAACCCCCGATCCACTCCCTATGAGAAGCTTATCAGGTAGTTGAGGTACCACTAGCCTAACTCCTTGGGATTAAAAAGAAAAATTACAATTTATAAAAGTAAAGTTACAACTACTTGAAATAATTTATAATCGATACTTATAATTTAATTTAAAAAAATTATAAATTTACTATAGTTTCAATAAATTTTTATCAGTTATTTGGTCTAATTTATTTATTTAAATTCAACTTGATAAGTTAATTAGTTCCAAAAACTATACAAAAATCAATGAGGCTATGAAGTTTTTTTTATCAATAACTACATTTAAATTTTGTCAAAAGCATTGGATTTGATATTTGGGAGCATTACCGTAAAGTTTTTAAATTTTTTGACTAAACGGTTAGACAACCTCAGTGGCGACCGACTTTAGTCGGTGGTAAGCAACAGGCCGTTGGAGCCTCGTCCTTAGTGTCGCTACCCAGCCTGGACTGCCAGACTGTCAAAGTAAAGAAGTTGCAATTTCTGTAAACCGTACATTGTCGTTTTCTCCACGTCAGTCACTTCCCAACTAACCCCTCCCGACTCCCTCAAATCACGGATATGCCATCCAGCCTGGCACACACAGCCAAAAACAAAACATGCAAATTCAAACTTATCCATCCCCTCCAATTTCTCACTCGCCTCAATTTACCACGCTATTAAATAACTTCCTTAACCGTTATATAGTAGAGTCAGAGTCAGAGTCAGACTTCTCCTCCCCGCGAGATTTTCCTGGGATTCTCTAATCCCAACGGTTACGTGGCGAAATATATATTAATACCAAATTACACATAAACCCAGAGAATTATCTCTTTCATTTCACATTTCCCCTAACTTATCTACTTCTTTAAATTATACCTTAACCTATTGCTTTGAGTTTCATACTACCCCCACACACCATAGTAACTCGAACTTGCTGGGATAGTCCTTCAAAGTAGCTTAGATGGTGGGCTCCGCAGACATTTCCTAAGGATATCTAAATCAATACTTTGACCCCAATTTCTCCAAGTTATTAGAAGCAAATCAATAGCTTACTTCTTGTGAATCAAATATGGGTGATCAGTACTACGATGACCTTTACGGGGCGTAATATTGCCACTAGACCACCAACCTCAGTGGTACATTGTCTCTGTCCTTAACTTTTGATGGTGTGTGAACTCAAAACATGAGTTTAATTCTTGGGTTAAAGAGCTCAAAGCTTAAATATAATAAATCGTAATGAATAGTGTAGGTATGTGAAATCGTTCTGTAAATTGAACCCGATAGCTCTTAAATTTACAACAGTAAAATGATCAACAAATATAAGAGCTAAAGATATAACGAGAACTTAGAAATTATAATAATTCACTAGCTATAAAGGTTAGACTATTTCACTCTAATAGAATCTTTTGTTCCTTAGAATTTTCTATTCCCTGGGAGAAGGAGGCAGTTACAATTTTAAAAATTACAATAAGTTTTCTCACACCCTATTATATGAGGGATTGCCCTTGTATTTATACCCTCACTTGGGGTGGTCCTCACGCAATAATCATCACATAATCCTCAAATTGTTAAGATTTGTTAGAAGAATATTTGGCTATTAAAGATTATATTCCCTAGATATAATGTGATGTGATATTCTAGAATCTGGTGAGATGACATTTGGTTTATTTCTCCATGCAAAGATAAGGTAGGGTTCTTAGCCCATGTGAGAGGTTATGTTGGTGGGGATGAACTAATTCTTGTTCTAAGGACAAGCTCGTTCCCATATCTCGACTTGACTTAGGAACCCTTGGACTAGAGCTTGGTTGGATGAGGCATCGCCTACATGAGCTGGCCGACTTTCTTGATCTAGACTAGGGGTAAGACCTTGATTCTTAGGTCCTTTGGTGATTATGCTATTAAGACGTTTTCCTAGTTATTTGACGCTATTATTTTTGGTATCATCAACTTCTATCAATTTTCACTGTTAACTATCGCATAAAATAATTCTACAATGTTAAAAGATCTAATATTTTTCTCCTTAATAAAAGTTAAAGTACTTGGGCAACTAACTTTAATTTTTCATGACAAATCAAGACAAAATTTGTTTACAATGTCAAAATATGTGATATATTCTTCATCAATTGAAAAAAAAATTATTATTCTATTGATTTTCATGCAAAACTAGACAAAAATTAATAACTAGGACCATTAAATTTTGTTTTATTTTTTATGATAAATCAAAGTAAAAAAACAACTTGACAATGTTGAAAATGTGGTCTTATTCTTCTAAAATGAAAAATTATATTTCGCCCTAATTTTCCATGAAAAAGTAGATAAAAATTAATGATCGGGATAGTGTAAACCTTAAACTAATAATTTAAGGTAAAATATAAAAAAAAGAGATAAGTGAAGAGACAATATGCAATAAAAGGCATAGGTAAGGGGGTCCAATTATAATTTATACAGCTGTACGTCCTTTTAACCGCCTACTTAGAAAAACCGGTAACCGTAATGCTCCCCACCGCCTCCCTCTTAACCGGCTCAATCCGTTACCCTAATACGCCCTTTATAAACCTCCTCATACACTCCTATCCTGCCCATCTCAGAGGCTCCTCCTATTCTCTCTCTCTCTCTAACCTTGCGTAGATCGATCGATGCCAATGGAGGTTTCGCAGAAAGATTTGGATCGGATCAAGGGACCGTGGAGTCCTGAAGAGGACCAACTGTTGCAGAAGCTCGTGCAACGCCATGGGGCTAGGAATTGGTCGCTGATCAGCAAGTCGATTTCGGGGAGATCAGGGAAGTCTTGCCGGTTGCGGTGGTGTAACCAGTTGTCACCGGAGGTGGAGCACCGGGCATTCACGGCCGAGGAGGATGAGATCATTCTTCAGGCGCACGCAAGGTTCGGGAACAAGTGGGCCACGATCGCGAGGTTGCTCAATGGAAGGACTGATAACTCGATCAAGAATCACTGGAACTCGACGTTGAAGAGAAAGTACGCGGCGATGATCGAAGCCACCGACGGTGGTTGTGGCGGTGATGAAAGGGCGGTTCAAGGTTTGAAGCGATCGAAGAGTTGCGATGTGACTGTTAATGTGTCTGGCTTGCGTGTCAGTCCTGATAGTCCAGATGGATCTGATGTTAGCGACTCGAGTCATACTCCGATGGAGACTAATCGTTATCGACCGGTAGCGAGGGTTAGTTCCATTGTCCGGCCTTCGAAAGAGGTAGAATCGGCGCCGGTGAATGATCCGCCGACTGCTCTGACTCTGTCTCTGCCGGGGATTGGTTCTGATGCGCAAGAGATTCACGATCATGAATCGACTCCAGAAGTGGCTCAGCAACATCACCGGCGGAGCCAGAGTGGCGAGTTTGGGACGCCGGTGGCTGAGAAGCGGGATACGATGACCTTTAGTCCCGAATTCCTTTCTGTTATGCAAGAGATGATTAGAAAGGAAGTGAGAAATTACTTTTCTGGACTGGAGAACTCAGGATTTGAGAAGAACGGAATGTGTGTTCAGCAGAATGGGCTTGGTGTTGGGAATACAGGGATTAGGCGCATTGGCATCAGCAAGGTCGACTGAGACAAAACCCAATAAGTCATAAAAAATTGGGGTGTTTGAGGTTAATTTGCGGAATTTGAGAGGGGCGATCTGGGTTTTTTCTTTTTGCTGCACAGAATAATTTTTGAACTTGGTGGTGTACAGAAACCGGGGAGCAGTGAGAAGCTTAGATAGCAGTGGCTTTGTTAGTCCAATGAAATGGGAGAGCTTTGTTTTGAATTAGGAAGAATAATTATAATCATAATCACAGAAAAATAATTATTTTTAAATTGAAACTTCTTTTCTTTGAAAGCCAACGGTACCTTTGGTAATGCTTGATTTATGAATCGTGAATGACATGATTTATGGATTGGTAATGTCAATGTTGAATGACAATTTTGTGGGGGCTTTTGGGTGGCTTTTTTTATTTTGGTATTATGGTTCGGAAGTTTCTGAATCGTTTATGCGTACCTCAACTTTCCCGTCAGCTGAGGAAGAAGGGGCTTTAATTCAAGGAATTGTGTGTGCGCGCGCCCTGGGACAATGAGGGCTGGGGCACATGGAGATACGGATTGTACACAATTTGTTATTGTCCTTTTGGCGACAAGCAGTTGGAATCAGCTTGAGCTGGAACCCCTTTATATAATTGACTGATAAAGGAGAGGACTGGAAAATTCATAAACTACCAAACATTTTCATTCTCTATGGACCAGCCAAAGAATTAATGGTAAAACATTGATCTCAATTCAGTTTTCTTTTTTGAACCTTCATATCAATTCATTGACTATGGGCTATATTGGTTGTCTAGTTGAAAGATACACAAATTGCTAATGTGGTCTAATTTATCATTCTGGGTTATTTGCGCACTTGATTATCTATTTTGTAAGATCTTGAAATTGTTACTTTGTTCTAATTTTCGATTCTTCTTGTGATTCCTGAAAATAAGATTTGAGAATACCCGCAATAACCCCTCTGGTTGTTTCTCTTGAGACTAGGGGTGTTCACCACCATACCCTACGGGTAGGAAATATACTCTTTTGTCTTTCTATTCGATACTTTGTGGAAGAATTTTTTCTTGACTTATCCTACCCGACAGTTGTGGTATTCCTATCCGACTTCTTACCCGATTAATCGGGTAGGAAGTCGGGTGAACATTTTTATAATAATTAATTTTTGAATCATTTTAACAATTTAATTAAATAACATGCACCATTTATTTAGTTTTGTGCATCATCACTAGCCTTGGTTTCAAGGTCATTCCAACAAAACACCACCCACCATACCAGCACCATCCAAAAAGAAATATATTGGAGAGAGAGAGAAGTGGTGTCTGCTCTTCAAAAAGAAAGACATATGCAAACAACATCCAACCAGATGTCATATTTAGGTTCACTCGTAAGTATACACAAACAAAATGACAATAGACAAATCTGCAACATTGGAACAAAGACCAGGTCATCACGATCTGCAACATAGGATAAAAACCCATGGATCTGCAACTCAGATCAAACGCGAACAGATCGCGCATTGATCTGCAACTTATGACCAGATTGTGCACAATGGCACTGATCTATTACTGTAGATGAAGGTCTGCGATTAGACCTTCCAAGCCAGACCACACAAGAGAGAAAGAGAGAGAATCTGGGTGGGAAGTCTAGAATGATGAAGGAAGAGCAATGGAGTGGCCGAGTGAGGTGTGAGGCGTAGATGCTCTTAGGACTCGATAGATTAGGGTTGTTTTAGTTTATATATATATATATATATATATATATATATATATATATGCGGGTAGGGTAGGGTAGGATAGGAATGCGAAAATTAATGACTATTCTACATTCCTACCTGAAAATTGTCGGAAGACCAAAAACTCTTTCGCATTTCTACCCGATATTTATGGCTAGTCGTTCAGTAGGGTAGGGTCGGGTAGGAATTTGCAACCGGTCGGAAATTTGAACACCCCTACTTGAGACAATTTCGATGTAACGAATTTTTTACAAGATCCATTTAGATTAGCTTTGGTTTGTTTGAATTCTCAATTCAATAGTATGAATGATTAGATTAAAATATTATATCAATAAATTAAGTCGAAAAAGCATTGCTCTCTAATTAAATACGCATGTTAGACTGGGTCAAGGACTTTGCTTAATTTAGTTTATTGAGCATCACAATAATGAGCAACGTTATTGGGGCATAATGATTTTGATCATTAGATTGATAGTAAATCTTAGCATTGAATTACACTAAACTGTCAATCTAATGGTTAAAATGAATAATGTTTTCAAAGGAAAACAATGTGTCCACCAAAATTTTTAAATTTTGGATCCAAAACAATGTGACACATTGATAATTATCGGATAGTTAGTGAAAAGCTATAGACTCATTGATTCTATGATTTATATTTGAAATTTTTTTGGGGGGATATAAGATTGTTGTAATGCAAATGTGTAAGGTTTCCAAGAATTAATTCTGTTAGGCCTTAACTTTATCAAATGTAGTCTAATGGACCGTAGGACTTTTTTGGACTGGGCCTAGATCGGGTAGCGTCCAATCTAACCCAACACAATGCGTCCTACCAGAAACGAAAGAGTGCGAGAGTCCTCGCCCATCTGCATCTGAAACACACAGAACACAGGAGAGAGAGAGGCTTGGCTGTGCATCGAAGTGGAAGAGGAGAAGATGTTGCCCACCACCTCATCAAAAGGGCGTACGACGTCTCATCATGTTCGACCTAATCCTGCTCTCCCTCAGTACCTCCGCAGAATTGTCAAGGTTTCAATTCTCTCTCTCTCTCGCGTTCTTTATATGTTTGTTTCGAATGCTCTGCAGTCTCGACAGATCTGATCTCTGCGCTAATCATGTAAAATTTCCAACTTATTTGCTTTTTACGTCTATTAGTTTCAAATTGGCGTTAGCACTGCAAAACTAGACAGTATCATGTTTAAGGATTGAATCAAATTCGGAGAACATGAGATTAGGATTGTATGAAATTCTAGAGTTGATGTGAGCAGCGGATGAATACTAAATTGTGCGCCAGTTGGGAGTCAGGACACCGGTAGATTTTATATGAAGTAGTTAGTGTGAATCTCATGCTATTTTTGAGGTTTGTAATAATGTGTAATTTTGAGTCGTATAATAGTAGAGATCAATACTTTGTTCTGGTCAAACAATCTAATTCATAGTCATGAGTTTCTTGGACTAGTATTTTGTGAATTACTATGTAGCAGATTCTAAGGTTCGAACCTCATTATTTATTGCAATTAAAATAATTTGCCCCTTGCTATTTCTTTGAAGTTGAAACCATTTTTCTTATTTATCTTCCTTCAAGAAACTTACATATGCAATAATTAGAAATGTAAATTTAATTCTACGCAGTAAGATCTTTGCTCTTATTCTAACTTAAAACCCAAACATCTTCGAGTCATCTACAATAGAAGTTGTCAAGATCATCTAGGTGACCTGTAGGTTCCCAGTTTGGGATTAATGGGTTGAATTGTTTGTGTTTTGGGACTTGTGTTCCTGACAATCTTGAAAGCTGATTCACATGATTCCAGCTCCAGTAGATCATCCATATTACTTAAGTATTGTGCCAACTACTGATCAGTTGCCTGGGGTTTCTTCTGTAATGAGAAAAATAAAGTATGGAAAAGGAAGAGATTGGAGATAGAGTAGGGTTGGGTAAAAAGATGAGAGCAAGATCATGAAATTAATCTATGACGTGAGTAGGGTAGTTGATCATTTTCTATGTGGTAGAAAGAATGGAAGCATGTTATGGTATTATGGTTGTATAGGTTTCCAATGATTAAGGGTTTAACATAGATAACAAATAGAGGGGCTTAAGAGCTAATGGTTCTAGAAGAGATGTTTAAGGGCATAGAGGAAATAAATTGGATGAGATGAGGGAGAAATGGTCAATGGATTTGGAAGTAAAATGAGAATTACCACCTTAAGGTAAGGTTCTATGTTGTTGTAGACAATATCAAGAACATGGAACCGGTTGCTTGGACCAAACTCTTCATACACAAGCCAGAATGGCTATAGTGTTTCTGTATAGTTTGGGCAACGGAAACTGGATAAAAGCAATGTGTTATTTGTGATTGTTCTTTTGCAATTATTTTAATTTTGTTTCTTGGTGGATTTGATCTCATATTTTTGTTTGTTTCTTTTTGACTTGTTCATTGTAGTGGCAACAAATGGATATTGAATACACTTTCTGGCAAATGCTTCACCTATGCACGTCGCCTAAAGTGGTGTAAGTATGATCCTGCACCACTATTGTTGTTATTGTGGTGGTGGTTGTTGCTGCTGCTGTTATTTCCAATATTTTTGTTGCTGTTATTGTGTAATTTTCTGTTCAGAAGGGCCTATTCATTGCTGTAGTGCCAGATATATTGATTAGGATGATGTCTTATTGAGGATGGTCAATGCGGTGACCAAGGTCATTTTTGAGCATTTGTTTCTGACTTCTGTGAAATATGAGTGCTTATGAGAGTTTTATGGCTTCTTTTGCCTCTGTATACTTTGCAAATTTGTGTGTATTTGGTTGAGCCCCTTTGCCAGTTTTACGAATCTCTGTCACTTGTGAAATATATATGCATACACCTGGAAGTCTTCATTGCTTTCACTGCCCACCCCTTCTCTCAAGGTTCCCAACCATGCTGTTCTACTATTTGTTTAACATGGCCATTTTTTTTCATTCGATTGGTGTCCATGACTAATTTGGCGTTCATGACTACCTAAGGAATATGAACAACATTGAATGATTTGGTGTGGGTTCTAATTTTATTCAATTGTAAAACCATATTAGGTAGATGTTGATTGTCATGTGCTGTGTTCTGTAAAGGTCACTGTAAATGAACTACAAATTAAAAGTTGAATTGTTTTTCTTATATTCTGGAGGCTTAGTATGTACATCTGGTGTTACTCCCTGCATAATCCATGGCACTTTTTGCTTTGCTGCTTTTCTGGGTTAAGCTATCCCTTCGTTCGTATATTTCTATTAAATTGAAGATTTCTAAAGGCAAACCTGTAACAATTTAGATGATTATGTTTGGAAATGTATACCTCGTTCTTTGTTTTTCGCTATATCATCACCATTTGAAGTTGCATGGTCGAGTGACCTTTTGATGCTTTTCAAATTTTCTTGTTAGACTAACACACTGGCAGGCCCCGCCCGTAGCCTTCCGTTCTCTCTCCTCCTTTCTCTCCTGCATGGTCTTCTGGTAGGGGTGAATAGCATTCCAAGAAGCCGACATTCTTTCTTTTCCATTTAATCTCTCTTCCAGCCCAGCTACACATTCCCCTTCCTCCGTGAATTCTGATCTATGACCACTCTTAACTACACATTCGGAAAGATCCTATTACACAAGTCTAGTGCTAAAGGAAAAGGAAGAGACTACTCATTTAATAAAAAAAAGAATCATACTGATGAGCGCCTATCTGAAGTCCTTTGACCTTCTACTTTCAGACAGTTCCTAGCAGGTCACACGTACTATAGCAATCATTAAAAAAAAATACAAACAACAGACTAACTATACTATCAAACCAATAAAATACTACACAGACAAGTTGAAGAAGGCTTTGGGTTCCGAGGAGCTACCAGAGCACGGTTTTAACGGCCCTGATAGCTAGGAAGAGCCTTAGAGTTCCATCGGAGTTCCTGCAGGGACAGGGTAGGGTAGAAACTTCGCCAGCAAACTCCACACCTCGACCAGCTTGCCAAAGATTTAGCTGCTCGTCATTTTCGATAGTGCGGGCACTTCCAACCTCTCGCATTGACTTATCTTCATTCTTTGTATCCAAGGCGATTGGCCTTACTTTTCTAGAAGAAGAATCAAATTGGGTTTCACATATTTGTTTCTTGGAGCATTTTGAGGCTGTTTTTGGAGTTCACTAATACTATTGCTTCTGCATTTTGCATGTAAAACTGTACGATGGATGCAGCTATCAGCATACCAAGTACCACAAACGTAAGTCTATCACTCGTTAAATAATTTTCTTCCATTCATCTTGTTGGTATTGTTGGTTTTTTTGTAAATGGAAAATTGTAGTATGTTGCATTTACTTTTGTTCAACCTTTTTTTTTTATCTGGCCATTGAATTTCTGGGTACCATTATATTATGAGTACTACACCCATGAATGTCAGCTTTATGTGGTGATAGTTGTTGCATTGCCTGCCAAAGCTAATTGATATTGACAATTCAAATATGGTTTGTACCTTATAATGTTGTCATATTCAAGATCTTGTAAGGATGATTGAGATATGATAAACATGTTGACAGCATTTATTAAAAAAAAAAAGATCTAGGATTGCAATCTCAAAGTTCTATGCATGTACTTCTATTTATTGCTATAATATAAATGATTTTGTTGTCGTTGTTCATTATCTCTGGTATATGCTTTATATCTGCGTTGGCATGTCATTATTTCTAGTGATAAGAACAGCAACCTGCTTTTTCCCACCCTTTGCACAGGTTTGACGGAAAAATAAGGGCTTTGAAGTGTGGGAGGCAAGAAGGGTGCTATTTGAGTTGTGTTAGGGATGAGTTAACCAGGACCTGTGTTGGCTGTGTAATTAAATTATTATCTACCCGATGCTCTATCAAGAGTCACTAATTTTCTGGCCTCAATCTCTCAGCCTGAACCCAAATTTCCTTATCACAGGGTCCCCTTCACACCTGACTGTTTTGCCATTGTAATTGATGCTAATTTGCTGACCTTTTTAAACTAATTTGACGGTTAATCGATACTTATTCCAGAGTGGTGAAAATGGTCTAACTTTGCATAGCCATGTCCACACTTGTGTGGTCCCAACCCGGGTGAGGGTGAGATTCAAACTCCGCTGTCTAGGTATCTGGTAAAAAATTAAGAGACTTCACCAGTTAAGCTAATGTACCACCAAATTTATGACATCTATGTCCATCGATCTTATGGACTCAGTTGTAGGATTAATGTTTTTAAATCTCTTTGAAATTCAATTTTTATAATGAGATTCAGAATGATTAAGTTTTTTTGACTTTGTTCTCTGTATTTATGTTTCTACAAGTAATTTGGCAACCTTGCATAATTTTTTGGGGGTAAGGTCTCTTCTGTTATCACCTTTCCCTAGTCAACTTGATTTCTACAAGTCTTTCGTTAAACTTTGTGAACTAGTTTTGGACTTATTCTTGTTCTCCTATCTCTTTGGTTGCAGAAACTAAGAACCAGTGGGCACGTGATGATCCTGCCTTTGTCGTAATCTGCACTCTTCTTTTGGCAGTAACTTCTTTAGCTTATTGTGCTGCGTAAGTTTTTTGATATAACTACTGTCAATGCTATTTTTATATTGATGCTAAAGAAAATCATCATATGGAACACTATGTATTCTTGAACTGTCAAACACTTTTTATTTTGGATAAGACTGAAAAACCACTTTTTTTTCAATTTTTATTTCATGTCTTCTTTTTTTGGTTTGGGATTGTCTGACTTTTGGATTGGTGAAGTTCCAGCCTCATTTCCTTTGTTTTATATATATTTATTGGTGATTATAATAACATCTTATTATCCTCCATTTGTTTCAGGTATGATCACAGTGTCGGACATTCTGTTTTTGTAGTTATCTCAGTATTGCTTTTCCATTTTTTAGTAACCGGAGCAGTTTTGGCTACAGTTTGTTGGTAAGAGCCACTACTAATAGTTTTGAATTATACTTGTCTTATTATTGAAGATGCTCTTTTAATTTCTTTTTGTTTGTGATCAATGTTAGGTTTCTCAATGCTTTCAAATTGAAAAATAATCAATAAATATATTTTTGTACAATTCCACATTGCAATCGCCTATATTCATATTCACTGTGAATTCTTATCATTTGCAACCTATTTTGTGAAAATGTCTAATTCTGATATCTGTTTCTGGATGTTCTTCTTATAATTAGCCCCAATCGCTCTGAGAGTCGCTTCTCATAGTGGTCACTTTCCTCTTTGTGCCAAATATGAACCTGACATTACGAGTTGATGCTGCATGTTAAATGTATGGAAGCAAACAGGTACAAATGCTAATTTGCAAATGCCTATGCAGGTTCCTGACAAACACTTATCTCCGAGAGGAAGCTCCAAACAGTCATGTGGTGGAGCAAAGAGTAGAATGGTAAGTTTTGAACCTCGCCGCTTTTGTAGTTTTTCTCATTTTGTCTTGTCATATTGGTTATTGATTCTGGTCACTTCTCTTGGTCCATGAGGTGTATCTATTGAATACTGTAATGCAATTAATGTGTTTCTTTAGGCATTCAGATTCTACTTTGTTTTGTGCTGAACCTGGTTTTCTGCTTGTTAAGGCTGTATGCATTTGATGTACATTGCAACTCCTTCTTCCCCATGTTTGTTGTGTTGTATGGTAAGTGCATGGTTGTACATGTTATCTGTTCAAAATTTGCAACCTCAATTTATGGATTAGAATGTTACTGATGGCATTGGTTTTTTGGCAGTCATTCATTATTTTCTATCACCTCTTCTGGTGGCTCATGGTTTCATTCCTGTTTTGCTATCAAATCTGCTCTTTATGGTGGCTGCTTCCTACTATCATTACCTCAACTTCTTAGGTTATGATGGTAAGCTAAATTTATTTGGTACTGCATTTCTTTTTCTGGCTTTTATTTTCTTTTGCCAAAAAGGTTCTTAATTTTTTTCCGGATGGAACATTCAATGGGGGCATTCCTTCTATGCCATGCACGTCAACATTTTGGATGCATAGAATTTGAATGATGATCCCCATTATGTATCAATCGGATCCCATTGGCTCTGAGAAAGTATGGATATGTAGCAAAATCTTCTAGTGGCTTCAATGGCAGAAATCCTCAAATTGTATTATCTATCTAACTAGTGGAAAGACTTACCCATTACATCTATCAAGTTGTGAGGTATGCATTAAGGTATGACCTGCATGGCATTTCCTTGAATATTGATGTAATTAATACTCAACAACAGGAAGCTGAAATCTTGGCCCAAGGGTTTTCTATCTATCTGGTCTATTTAACTGGTTAAAGGGAAATATAAAATTGCTGCTGCAATTTTGAATTGCTAGCCTGGTATTTCTTGTTGAAGACATTAAAATTTAGTAAATAATGAGTGCCAGGTGGTTTATTTCTATTTGGTTGCTTGCCCATACACTCTTCTCAAATAAAAGTGCCTGGTGAAGCTCACTGGGATTGCTTTCATGATTAAATAATCTGATTGTCAGTTGTCAGCCAGCAAGAAGTTGCATGTTGATAATGCGGTACAGACACATACCTATATATATATATGCTTGCATTTGTGATTTCTTTGGATTTTTCCTCCTTATACATAGTGTGTGTGGACTTGTGAAACTCCAAATAGAGCTGCATATTCCTCAAGTTGTGATGAGTCGATCAGAGGCAATCTGCTAAGCTCTGGCTGGTTTTATTGGGGTTGAAGCTTTGTGCAGTCAGACCCACTGCTTGCAGTATACTGCATTATGAGTGAAATTAATGTACAGAAGCGCTCGTTCCTCCATTGCATTTCGAAATATTCTCTAGACATCGTTGTTGTTTAATTTATTGACCGACCCATGAATTGGCACGTGTGTTGACTGGATGACCATAGTAAGGAGAAACTTAGTTTGCTTTCATTGACATCCTAGTGACCCCAGTCAGATCATTTAGCATAATGCAAAAAGGACCACCACCCTTGGATTTGTAATATTCTTTATCTTTTTCCTTTTTTCTTTTCTGGTCATAGAACTTGCCTTTCATTGTAAAGAGTCTAACAATCTGTTTTTTTTTTGCTGCAGTACTACCCTTTTTAGAAAGGACTACTTTCTTCCTGTATCCAATCGGCATTGTCATCATCCTTTCACCTATCTGTAAGTGCTAAATGCCCTTGTTGATCGTCTTTTTTGACCTTTTCATTTATTGACATGGAAGATCAATTCCTTGTCTTGCTTTGCAGTGATTCTAAGTGGCTTCAATCCAACAAGATACTTCATGAGCATATATTTCAGTCGTTCGTTATGATTTACTCTGGCTAACGCTTCAGATACCACATATGATGATGAAGGAAGACATTGCTAATGAACATGAGATGATATCTATCAATGCATTATTGGTCATTACATGTAAAAATGAGGGCCGGAACATCACTTGAAGGAGCTTCGGTTGTTTTCTGTGCTCGCCTTTTACTACTGTGGCTGAAGTTTTGGTCCCGTCTAAAATTGGGGCCTGACATTTCCTTCCGTGCCTCACAAATCGACAACTGAATGTGTTCAATGTAATGATGTTGCTCCTTGTTGATCTTCTTTTATATTGTTTCTTTCTCATTTTTCTAATTCCCTGGACTGGACTTGCACAAAGAGCTAGTTATTTCAGTGATCACTCGGTAGGGAATAAATACCGGACAAATGAGTCTGTTTGTCGCTTTCTTTTTTTTTTTTCATTTTATAACAGAGCCGTTTTTCGTGGCTGGCATAGAAATCTCTCGCACGGGCGAATGAGATGCATTTTTGGTACAGGTGATGATAATCCCCTAGTTGACGAATGAGAGCATGTCTTTCTCGTTCTACAATTACCTCCCAATTACGCGCCCCTTGTGTTTTTTGAGAATCACTAAATCGAATTGCAATTCCGAGGAGTGGGGAAAATTTGCTCTGGATGTTTCTTGATCCCTCAACACTTAGAGCTAGGGCTGTTCACCCAGGTCGACGTGTAATACATAGTGGAGTCTATCTTTTGTGGAAGATCAATTTTTTGGGAAATTATAAGGGGGGTACAACAACCTAGATTTAATTGTCAAAAAATACACAGCTTTTAATGTTAGATAATTAAGTTTTTTTTTTAGAACTTAATTGTGTTCAAATACACAATTTGACTTTTTCTGATTTTTATCATATTTCTTTTTTAGGTAATTAAGTTGAGTTTTGATTTTATTTTATTGTATTAAGGATTTCCTAATACTATGCCAGATCTGTAACATTCGTTTATTGTGTATACCTCAGCTATTTTTGAATTTTAAATTTTTTCACATTATCGTTAGTTCTCTTTTTCTTCTTCAAAATATAAGCCGTTATTGTTTGAAAAAGTCCAAACATAATATTATTTTTATTCTCCAAAGCCATTATTAGGCTTGAATTTATGCCTTCACTAAGTTTTTGTTTAATTTTTTTCGTTCGTAGTCCTCAAAATTATTTCATTTTTTTTAATAGTTCTTTAGTTGTTCTAGGAACACCATAGTGAATGGTGTCTTTTTGTATCTTTTGTTTCTTTTTTTTTCATAGTTCTTTTGTTTTCGTTGGTTACCCACCTATGCGCAGACATGATCTCAGGGATATTGTTTTCCAGTTTTTGTTTTTGATTTAGCAACACCATGTTGGATGGTTTTACCAGTTTGAGTCATGATTTTTTTTTTTCAGTTTGACATTGTTTTTGTTTATAAACTTTCTATCGGTTGATGACACACTGTGTGGTCCACACAACGTACATGAAACCTTTTCTATTGGTGTGTCCTCTGTGTTTTTAATTGGGAATTGTTTCACATGATTCATTCATAAACAACAATATGAGACTAAGTAACAACAATATGAGACACTAAGTTGTTACGCTGTAGAAAACCAGTTGTATGAATTTGTGTGTATAGTTGTTGCACTGATTATGTTACATAGTTTTTGCTACATTGTAAATAGTCATTAGATACACTTAAAATTAACCTGAATTCCATTTGAAATAATTTCACTCAATTCATTCATAAACATAAAGATGTAACACTTTACGGTTACACTTTTGAACACATTTGACTAATCTGACACACTGACCTGATACACTATTTTTTTTAAGCTATATTGTCAACATTATAAAACCTTGAACAATCTGGATAATTTTCTAAACATTCACCAAATATCAAAAAATTCAATATAGAATTTCAAAATCCATAATTTGCCTAAAAATTATACAAATTTCATCATAAACGAGCTGAATATATACGAAGGTGTGACTCTAAATTTATAAGGATAATAAAATTATTGCATTTTTTATACTTAATTTGTTAAAAATAGTACCACTTACCATATAATATTCATTACTACTTAATATTAAATGTTAAATGACAATAGTGAAACGGGTCGGGATGAATTAAAATTAATATCAAATTGTTATAACATTATCCAAACTTAGTATTATATTATTATCGGATTAAATTAATCTAATTCACCCCCTTAATACTTGAACCAAACATACACTAATGAAATTGAGACATAATTTAAAGATATAATTTGAGAATATAATGTGTTGTGTTCATTGAATTAATAATATAGTGCATTTAATCAGTGCCGGCCCAATAGAAAGGTCACTTAAGCAACTACTTAAGGCCTCAAAAAAAAGAGGGTCCCAAATAATAAATATAATCTTTAACTGTACTTTAAATTTACCAAAAAGTTTTGGTTTAGAAGGCTCAATCTAATGAAAATCCTTACAAGGCCTAAACCAAAACAAAGATCCAATTCACATCTCTTACTTTTTCCAACAGTTAAAAGATTTGAAAGTTTTAAAAAAGGTAAAAATTAAATTTTCACAATTAAAGCTTAAAGTCTACTCTCTCTCTCTCCCTCGCTCAAGTAAAACAAGTTCATATAGCATAATTATGTATCTCTCTCTTGCAACCTAGATTAAATTGAAAATGTACATATTTATTTGATTAGTAATTTAATTTTTTAATATTTTTATTGATAGGATTAATTTAATGTAATTATTTTTTTTATTGTAAAAGTTTGAAATAGTAGATGATTTGAGAGGCGAACAAATTGTCAATTCAAAGTTTATATAATTTTTATTTATCAGGTGATATTGTATTTAATTCTTATTGACTTTTATAAGTTATTAGATTGTTCTCTTAGTATAATTATTTTTTATTTTAAAATATATTTTATTGACAAGAATTTTTAGTTTGAAATAGGTCAATTTTTTTCAAAATTAAAACTCATAAAATTCTACTTACAATCAATTATAACACAAAAAAAGATTGAATGGATTAGTCATATTATGCATTGAAAAAATATACTAACAAAACTCAAATATAAAATTTTGATTACTAATTTTGCATCACAAAAAATGAAAAAAATAAATTTTAATCATACAATATATATATATATATATATATTTTAATAAAATTTTGATAAGTCCCTATTTAACATTTTCACTTTGAGCCCCAATTTTTTTTAGGTCGGCCTGTATTTAATGTTGAGGCTTTTGATAATCTAATGACTATAATCGTTGTAGTAATTTGTAATTATCCCCGATGTTGCAAACTTCCACAGCTAAGTCAATATCTGTCGGTTCCAAACCATGTTAGACACCATATAACCCTTTCTCAAATGACAAAGTCAAAAGTCACTACCCACACAATTCCCATATAATAATGTTTTTAATGTCACTATTTTGAGTCTTGAAGACTTAGCAACCGCATCATAAGCAAAGGGGTACTCGGAAAACTAAACTTCTCTGGTAAAGTTTGAAATTAAAATCTCGAGATAATAATCTTAAAATACTCCGACTACCTTGTGACGATTTTTCCATGTTTTTTTTTTTATTTCAACAATGTCTGAATCTTAGTTTGAAGCTCATCAAAATATCAGACACTTTAGAGAAGGCATGGAAGATTTTTTCTCTTTTTTCCTAGCAAAACAAAACAAATTGTTGAAAGCAAAAAGTATACAAAAATGCTCGGGATTTTACTATGAACAATTAGTCTCTTTTAACATCATAAATTGCGTTTATGGCCATAGGATTAAGCATAAAAAAACTTAGTTGTTATTTATCTTGTTATAGTAGCTTGGATGAGAATATACTTTAAACGTTACTGATCTAACATCTCAAGTTCTATTCTCATAATAAAACTTCTATTTATCCGATATAAATAATTCATGAGTGATTCCATACGTCTAGAATTTATGTTTCACCCACGTATTTAAACAATATGCAACTCGAATAATTTTAGCTTTTTCTAGAAAAGGCTAGTCAGTCTTTTTTTTAAGGTCTTTTTGTGATGTTTCCTGGTTGTTTCCCCCATCCTAACAACCGAAGGCGACCAAAGTCGCAAAGATATCTGGTTTCCCACGTCTCCCATAGACCTCTTGGAGACGAATAAATTTTAAAATGAATGTGGGACCCCTACACTTTGTATATTCTCAAACATTCTTGTACATAAATCACCCCAAAAGATTTATTATAAATAGAAGGACATGACTCTCACTGCATTTCCATTCACAAAACACCTTTTAAATTCTCTCTCCAAGAGACCCAAACAACCATCTTTTCCCTGGCAGAGGGTTCTCATTATCCACCAAACCAAGACGATGAAGGTATAATTAGGTTATTATTTCCTAATATTATTTTTGAAACTATTTATTTTTTAATCTTTATTGTAGGTACCATTTCTTTTGTAGTTTTTTTTTTTTGGTAATTTTTCTTTATGCAAATTTTCTCTTTTCCTCGAATATTAATTGTTTATATGTAGCATGCAGTCATACATGTAAATACACTAGTTTGTATAGTGAAATGCATATAGGTCACTCTTGCAAAATATATAATAAGAAATAAGTATACTAGTGGCAATATATATATCTAATTGCTAGTTATATTCAAGAGTTTAGTGGAAAAAAAATTCACAATTTTGCTATTGAAACTTAACATATAGTGGCGACATAACAATTCATGGCATACCTAAAAAGGCAACTCCTAGTGGCAACTTTCTTTTTGCCACCAATTCTGAGGAGTGGGGATATCAGCGACGGGTTTTTGTGCCACTAAAAATCTTGTTTCTTGAGGGGATAATAATCCTACGCCCTCTTTTTTTTTCATGAAATTGTTCTTCTTTAAAAAAATTTACTTTCGAAAAAATCAAATTACCTTTAGTATTCTAGAAATGAAAATATGCTGATTCAAATTTAATTTTGTTTAGAAAAAAGTGATCATTAAGGTGCCTATGAATGGCGAGAAACCTCAAAACAGGGCAATGAAGGAAGTAGCTCGTGTCTTGGGCCTCATAGTAATCTGTCGGTTACTGAGAAAACGCAGTGATTCTCATTCAATTGTCAACAAAAATAAATCAAGGGCCATGACCATTGCAGTTGGTCTACCTGGTAATAAGAACTTTTATGCCTTCTATCTTTGTTTTTCTTTTGAACTGTTTTATCTTTGTTTTAGTTTGCTTTTTTTAACAATTCAATAATCAAGCATTAAAGACCCAAATTGGACTAAATTTCAATGGAGTAGGAGTAAACACTTTTTTATTTGAAGGACATTATGTGTGGGTATACTTAAGCTTAGTTTAGTTGTGATTGGTCAAACTTAAACTCAAACCAAAATTAAATGTCTGAGTTTAGATTCTTACTTAGTCTTGGATCAAAAAAACTTGCAAGCATTTTGGCCGAACTCCAGTCAAAAT